CTGTTGCAAAAGCTGACATCCCACGTTAGGGCCTGTTTTGCCAAGACCACATTAACGCGCCTAACGCGTTTCAATCTCCTCCGGGGAACATTTCGACTTTCAATCCTACGTATACACAAATATCCTATCCCTGACCGTAGAAGCTCGCAATGCCGTCGATACTCACTCGGCGGTCTCGATCCGCGAACTCTGACGATGAGGAGTCCCTTCCCCGAGCACAAACTCCGTCATCCGTGGCTCCCCATGACAGCAAGCGTGCGCGTCGAGATGGAGCGGGAGGAATTGAATCTCCAGAAGGAACTCGACGATCAAGTGCGCATGGACTGCAAAAGAGACCGAGAGTGCGGAAAGCTGTTGCACGGCAGCAAGTCAATGGCGACGCGAAGCTTGTCATTAGGCAACATCAGCCCGGTGCGATCGTTCGGGTCAAGCTCCACAACTTCGTCACCTACAGCTCTGTCGAATTCTTTCCCGGCCCAAATTTGAATATGGTCATTGGCCCGAACGGATCTGGAAAGAGTACACTTGTTTGTGCAATTTGCCTTGGGTTAGGATGGGGTTCACAGGTCTGTCTTCGGCCGCTGTGCCCGATTCACTGCTAACTCTACATAGCACCTGGGCCGCGCACGAGATGTATCCGAGTTTGTCAAGGCCGGGTGTCGAGAAGCCACCATTGAGATCGAGCTCCAAAAGGACCACCGCACCCGACGGAACCCAATCATCACCCGCATTATAAAAAAGGAGGGCAACAAGTCTATCTATACATTGAACAACAACCCGGTATCGGGGAAGGGTGTGCAGGAGCTTGCTCGGTCAATGAATATTCAAATCGACAATCTGTGTCAATTTCTGCCTCAGGATAAAGTTGTTGAGTTCGCAGCCATGACACCCGTCGAGCTTTTGCAATCAACACAGAGAGCTGCAGCTGTCCCAGAAATGTTAGAGTTTCATGACAGTCTGAAGAAGTGGAGAGCTCATCAGAAAGAGCTCCTGACTACCAGCAAAGGCGATCGCGAGGTGCTTAAGAATCTGGAAAGCCGGCAAGAAATGCAGAAAGACGATGTCGAGCGACTGAAGCAAAGAGATGAAATCAAGCGAAAGGTAGCATGGATGGAGAAATGTCGTCCTATACCCAGATATCAAGATGCAAAGGCGAAAGCTATTGCTGCAAAAGAGCGGAAGAAGATCCTTACAGCAGAGCTAAGAAGCTTGACTGCGGAACTGGCACCAGCTTTGAGAAGAGTCAACGAGAGACAGAATTACGAAATCCAGGTCCGAAAGGCACTACAGCATGGAAAAGAGATATCAGAAAAAGCTGATCGGTCTGCCGAAAACGTCCTGCAGAAAGTGATGGACCTCGAGCAGAAATTGAAGGATTTCGATGGCATGTCCGAGGCAGAAATAAGGAGCATCAAGAGCAAGAGGGAGGACAAGAACCGGATACAAGGTATTATTGCAAGGATCAAGAAACAGATGGGGGAGGAGCCAGAACCATTTGACCACAGGGCTGTAAATGACAAGATGGTGGGTTGATTTTGTAGTATCTTTGTGTCCCACACTGACCCATGTCCAGGCCCAGCTCAACAGTCGTCGCCGGCAGATAACTGACACTGCTCAAGAAATCAACGAACAGATCATGGACTTGAAACGTCGGGGCCAGGCCAAGCTCAACGAGAAAGTAGCCGATCAAGAACGCCTGGCAGGTCTGGATACTCAAAGCGGGCAACAGGAACATAAACTCCAGCAGCTATCGAGGGATTCCTATCAAGCTTGGAGATGGATTCAAGAGCACCAGGATCAATTCGAGCACAAGGTCTATGGCCCCCCTTTGATTGAATGCTCCTTGAAAGATTCAAGATACGCCAACGCGATTGAATCACTCTTCCAAGAGAATGACTTCAAAGCCTTCACTGCGCAGAGTCGTAACGACTTCTATACATTGCAGAGGGTGCTCAATCGAGAAATGAGATTGCAAGATGTGAGCTTGAGGGTATGTTCAAACAGCTCTATGGATCAGTACCCTGCACCACTTTCGGATGCAGACTTACGCGGTTGTGGAATGGATGGCTGGGCAATTGACTTCCTCGATGGCCCTGCTGTTGTTCTTTCGATGCTCTGTGGAGAAAAGTCACTACATGCTACCGCCATCACACTGCTCGACATCTCCCAAGAACAGTTCAACCAGCTCGAAAATAGCAACGTCAGAAGCTGGGTCGTGAATGGTACGCTCTTCCAGGCCGTTCGACGGAGGGAGTACGGCGCGGCAGGTAATTCGACCCGCACTCGAACTTTGAGAGAAGCACGGATCTGGACCAACCGTCCTGTTGACCCTGCTGCTAAGGACCGATTGCAGCAGCGCATACGAGAGATTGAATCGGATATCGCCACAATCAAAGAAGAGATGGTCAATCTGACAGAAAGGAGACGCGAGCTAGCCACAGAAAACAAGGCGATATTAGAAGAAACGGAGGCGTTGAGGACTGACAAGGAAGCTAAACAGAGGGCGCTTACGATTTTCAAGGCCCTACCAACCAAACTCACCCAAGAAGAACAAAAACTTGCGACTATTGACGAGCACTTGGAAGGAGTCCGCAGACGTCTTGATAATATCCAGAAAGATCGGGACAAGGTTCTTCTAGAGAAGGTGGACACGACAATCAAGTATGCTGAAGCAGTGGCAGAGTTTCGAAAGACACACGACGCTCTACTCGAACTGGAAATGCAGCATATTGAAGCAAAGTCCGACTTTGAGACTTTGAAGTCACGGAACGAACATGTCCAGGCCACCTTGGAAGCCAAGCAGGATGAAGAGAAGGCCGCTGTTGAAGAGTCTACACGGCAATCTGCGATAGCCAAGGAATTCATCATTCATGTCAAAAAGCTTGCCGCAGAGGCTGAAGAACTCGCTGAAGCCGGTGACACCCTTTGGAAGGATTATCTGTCTGAATATGGAAGAAAGTCTGGCGACGAGCTGGAAGCAGATATTGAAAGTGAGAAAGCTAGATTGGACCTGACTCATGAAGGCAACTCAAACATACTCAAAGAATTTGAGGATAGACAGCAACGTATCGACAAGCTCAGACAAGGCTTGGAAAAGTTCGTGCAACAGAAAGAAGAAGTCCAGTCAGCAATCGAAGAAATCCGAGAGAAATGGGAGCCCGAACTTGACGCCCTCGTCGCCAAGATCAGCGATGCCTTCTCCGACTCCTTCGCCCGCATCGGTTGCGCCGGCCAAGTCGCCGTTTACAAAGCATCGAGCTCAGACCATGAAGACAACGGCGACCAACCCGCCGGCTCTGACGGGCTCGACTTCGCCAACTGGGCCATCCACATCTCCGTCAAATTCCGCGACTCGGAACCGCTTTCCCTGCTAGATTCGCACCGCCAATCCGGTGGCGAACGAGCCGTCTCCACCATCTTTTATCTCATGGCCTTGCAATCGCTGTCCCGAGCGCCTTTCCGCGTCGTGGACGAGATCAACCAGGGAATGGATCCGCGGAACGAAAGGATGGTGCACGGTCGCATGGTGGATATCGCCTGTGGTGAAGACGACAGCAATGGAGATAAAGGACCTGGGAGCCAGTACTTCCTCATCACGCCCAAGTTGTTGAGTGGGCTGAAGTATAAGCGCGGGATGAGGGTGCTGAATATTGTGAGTGGAGAGAAGATGCCTGCCTATGGTGTGGGAGAGCATAGGGTGGACTTTGCCGCGTGGGTTAGGAGGGCGAGGGAGTTGGGGTTGGGGAAGATGATGGGTGGGATTGGAAGAGGTGTAGGTGTAGAGGAGAGGAGGCTGGATTTGGGGATGCATTTGAATGGTAATCTTGGAGGGGCTAGTCATGGGCGGACAGACATTGGTGATGGCACCAGTGACGAGGAGCAGATGGACAGCGTCAGAAGCCAAAGTCGGCTTGCTGAGGTTGGGGCTTGATATGTCAAATCTGGTCGCTGGCTTATTTACGGTCCTTCTGAAGCAATACACGTGGACAAGATGTGCGACCCATGTCTATTTGGGGTTCTTCAGTCACACCTGCCCGGAATTTCTCAAATGGAAGTGGCGTAGGAAGGAACGGGGAGCCGACAACTTGGTGACCGCCTTCCTCATCAACTGTCCGCGACATGCCTTAATACGGAGTCCACCAGCACACGGAATGAGTAGGCATCAAGTAATAGTCTGTCTGTTTCAAACCACTCTCAAGTTACATATCTCCACATCCTCATGGTACACTTCGCCCGGGACGAGGACACGTTATTCAGATACTGGTCATGGTCACCCCATACAGCACGCAGTACGAGAAGCGATCTATTTGTTCAGCACAACTTCCCGCCTCTGTCCATATTCGATCTATATATATATATACGTGCTGCTTTCGGGTTTTTCTTACGATCTCGCTGAGTAAAGCAAGGATCCTACGTCATAAACCTGTTTCATGTACAGCAGATAATGAGTTGAATATGTCTACTTTCCGGAAAATGGATGCATTGTGGTCGCAAGGAACCATACCGGCAGGGAGGTACGTACGAGGAGACCACCCTCAGCAGATGAACGATGGTCGTGTCATATGTCATGTAGAAGCAGTAAATTATGTGTGTGTTCAGATCCTTAAGCCAGACGGATGGAGTGATTGCCTCATCCATATGGTGATCAACGCTGCCCCGAATCCCCGATGCGCCGGAGTATCATTCCGTATGCTCGACAGAAGCAGCAAGTCGGTTTCGACCAAGTTATATTATAGATCGACGCATACAAGCACCTCGGCATCTCGAAGCGACTCCGTACACACTCTGAGTACTCTGCTTTGGCACGCACCCATCCGGAATCATGCGCGCAGTACCCAGCGGCCTGTCAAAAGCAGAACTCGAGGGTTAGCGATTCCAATGCAACGCAGAGCAGAGCAGAGCAGACATGAAGATCACCTTCGCACTATGGTCGAATGTCCATCGGATGAGTCGTTCAATTATGATTAGTCGTGTCTTGCTCGATATACCAAAGCTCAGACCGTACAATGCTATGCTCCAAAGGATAAAGCTCCTTTCTGATCAACAATCTATTGTATGGGTTTGTAGCATCTGCCGTATATCTCTAATGTACTAGTAGTTGTGCTAGTAAGGGCTTCTCGCTGGGGAGTCTTTGTTGCTGGTGAGGCCTTGGTGCTAACCATTTCTTCATTCTGGCGCGTCCCTTTTGTGGGCGAGCCCGTCTTGTTGGCGAGTTCTCCATGCTAGTGAGCCCTTCTTGCTAACGACTGCTTTCTATACGCGGGTCTTCCTGCGAGTTTAGTAAGCCGGCTGATGGACCACACATCTCAGGGAACCCTTTTAATCATGTGCTCCATTCCCGTTGACAGAACCCCGCCAGCAAAAAATACTTGTTGGCAATGCCATCCTGTGGATGAGTGACATCTGCTTGGGGATCCATCCTCCTTGCTGACCCTTCCTGCAGGTAGAAGCAAGTGAACAGGCTATTGTTCAAATGGCACAGAAGCAGCAGATCAGCATACAGGCCTGCTATCTTCCACTTCGAAACTCCATTTTCGTCCTCCTATGTTTCACCGAAGGACGCCAAAGCATTGCTCGACTCAGTCAATCTCCATAATCCGGCTTTGAACCCGTAGACCCCAATCGACAGAAGCAAATAGTATGCCACGGTCCAAGCAAGGCCTGGAACTTGGCTTGCGCCTCCAACATGAATGGCGTCCACATCAGTTTCGTCATCGTCCTTGCCACTACCTTCAACGCGCACAAATCCTGGAGGTGGGCCAATCGGCTCTCCTGCCGCGACTCTCCCCCAGAACCTCGGCAGCCCACACCAATTACAAAGACTATGCATCAAAATCACTGTGATCAGCGAACCAGTCCTCAAGTACACGAATGCCGCATACCACCCAAACAGCGTCGTGTAGGTGAACTGAAACAGCGACCTCAACAGCGCAGGCAAAGTCGACATATATGGATGTGTGAGCGTGAACTCATAGAAATGGTGTACATGTGCGATTCCGAAGTAGAGCGGGGTTAGGAAAACGATCTTGGTAGGTGAAATCCTGGCGAGGAGATGTAAGGGGATGATCACCGAGCGGAAGAGGATCTCTTCCGTTATGGGTCCGGCGACGTAGTTCCGGAAGCCAGTGCTGCTGCGCAGGGTGGTAGGTAGGGAGGCTGGGCCGGTGAGCCAGTGGCGGTAGGACTGTTGGACTACGAGTTTTTCGAACAAGGGGCCGAGGAAGAGTATGGAGGTTAGCAGGAGAGGGTCGAGTAGGGATGTGGTGAAGTTTTGAAAGAGGGGCCAGTAGCCTAGGAGGTGGAGGGTTTCGAGGGAGACAAAGTTGTCAGAGTTAGCGGTTTTGGTGGACTGGTAGTGGATCAAGTAGATGGTCGAGAGTGTGCTGATGAAGCAAGCGAAGGAGACGGTGCGAATTCGAGCACGAATCACGGTAGGAGCATCACGATTGAGGTTTGGTGACGGCCGGGTCGAGGGGAAGAGGTAGAATGGCAGGACGTAGACGAGGGTAAAGAGGGTCTTAGTGTTGAAATAGATCGTCAGCGTTCAGTATCCTAGGTAGCAGCAAAGAGGCCGGTCCTCAAACTTGGGTTTCACGGGTGTCTTGGGTGTAAGCCTCGAGTAAGAGATTGCCAACTATCAAGACAGAAATCTTTAAGGTATAGAGAATGGACACTAAGGGTGTGTGGCACACAATCAATCCTTGACGTAGGATACCGATACACGCTTTAATGCGCGATGCACGACCGGAGATCAGCATCTGATCTAGCAGACATGAACAATTATGAAAGCTGATGACTTACCGACAAAGAAGCAGCTATACTCGGCGAGACGATGGGTAGATCTTTTTCTATGACCATGATATGTTAGTAGTGGCAGAAGAATGAAAGGTGGGAAACTGCTAAGAAGACGATTACAACTTCCTGCATGGAATGTTGACTAGAATGAATTTAATGAATTCAGCATACCAGAATTGGCATCATAGTAACGCTTCAGTCGGTTAAGCAAATTGGTGGGTGGCATGTCGTTTTGCACTGATCCAAGCAATGATCACTGCGCTATGGCTGTTTGAGATTGTGATGTCTACCCTTGATGAAGACCGCTGTGCTGCTGGTGTGAAGACCAACCCGAAGTCTTCACCGAAGGATGATGAGAAACTGCTTAGATGAAGAGGAGAAGATTTCTAACTGGAGCGACAGTAAGTACCAATCGTGCATGTCGAAACCAAGACAATACTACTTGGAGTACTCCGTAAATAGGTACTTACTTATCTGCAGATAGAATTGCAGGCGTAGTCGGACGAGATACAGACTGGTATCCATTTTCTCTCGTTGTATATGTCTGTTGATATAGGTGGTTCGCAAGAGACTATTGAGGGCGAACAAAGGATCCAAAGGTAGTGACACACTGGCAGTAAATGAGACACTGGTAACAGGGGTAATTAGCTCGGGCGATTTGCTAGGGTACTACGACAAAGAGAGGCATGAATATTGTTAGTCCAACGATAGTTCATCTGTACTGCAATAGCCTCATCATGTCTTCTGAGTGTACAATACGAGTGCACCAAGGGGACCTGATACCATTCAATTCTTCAGCATTCGAGGAGACCGCCAGACGGGTGGAACGAGATACATTCCAGCCTGCATGACGATGTATTTGCTTCAGGTTGTGGCAGTTGTTCTGTGATTTGTTCTCAGTCCGAGATTTTAGTCGCTTACAGAGAACCCCGCGCATCTCTCCTTTCTCCTATTCGCGGATGACGACCCAGAAACGCGGCCATTTTCGCCACGCGTCAATTTCGCGATGCCGCCGCTGTATCGATATCTGCCCTTGCTAGACTCGAATGACCCACCAAATCCGGACAATAGCAGCCGAGGGTGTCAAGATCCAAGTGTCGATCGTTTGACTGCCCCTGACAGTCCTACGCCTCGCCGCCCGGCCCCTGGCCACTAAGCAAGAGAGACGAAATTGGAAAATTACTAATTGGGGGGTCGTGGTAATTTCCTGAATGGAATGCTCCGCTTGGTCCAATCATTGGCCAATGGTAAAGGACCGCCTTGATCAGATATGAAGCCGTCAATGAGACTAACAACTTGCCCGTTACTGTCATTCCATCGCCCTGCAGCTTGCAGCAAGCCGAACGCCGAGCAGCGTCACCAGAGCAGAGCGAAAATACTTCCCCCTTTCAACACCCGCCGACGACATCGTTCGTTCGAACCAGAAGTCCCTTTGATGTTGCCATTGAAATTTCTGTCTGTCTTTTCAGCGTTCTGCATTTGCGTCGCATTCGTTTCAGCTCGGCGGTAGCCCAGACATTCGTTTTACATATTACTTTCAATTAATCATTCGATAATCGACCTCCTGCCCTCGTTGTCCCCCGTCACGTTGATCGAAATCACGCTCTTTGTTGCCATGTTACTACACGCATAATCGTGGGACCCTCATCATGGGCCCAGGTCCTTCCTCAACCCAGCGGTCACCCAAGAGATCACCAAAACGAAAGGTTCTTCATGAGCGAAGCCAGTCACAAACAAACCGAATCCCTCAACGCATACCTAACGATGGAGTGAAACCAGTGATACCCTCATCAACGCCATATCCAACTAAAGCAGCCCATGTGCTGTTGCCAAGTTCAATAAAAAGTCGGGATGGAAGGAGTGACATTTCTGGGGCCTCCTTTGCAGCAAGAATTGCGAAGGGGAAGGAGAAGGCTCATCCTGGCGCAAGTCAGATTCACTTGGGAGTTCCCAGCACGAGCAATCCAAACGCATTGGGAATCAAGCGGTCTGTTAGTGAGCTGCGGGATCTCTATGAAAATAAGCCCGGGTCCCGGCCGTCGACCAGTCACTCAGGACTTTCGAGCAAGCCTTCCAGTTTAATATCTTCACCAGCCTTGAGAGGACACTTTCTGGGTGAGAGGCTCTCTAACCATGGCAAGTTTCTTCCATCCGAGTTGGAGGAAGTCTCATCCTTGCCGTCACCACAACATCCTTCCTGCTCGATCAAGAAAATCACTTCAGAATCTTCCTTGCCTCCTCCTCCAACACCTCCTCAATCTACTTTAAGTGAGGGCTCGTTGGAAGTATCTTCAAGTGTTGCTGAAGGTCTCCCAACTACCTCGTCTAGTCCAGATCTCATAACCCCTGGTAGCTCTTCCAGCGCCCCTGACGAAGCACCAGCACTTTCATCAAGTCCGAATTTCATTTCACTGGGCCATTCATCCAGCCAAGATTTCAATTCCCAAGCGCACGTTTTAAACCTTAATATTGCTCCATTAAAACTACCATCTAGTCCGACTTTTAATCCTATTTTACCTTTCAGCTCGAAAGCAATTCGATCAGAACATTCTTCCAGTCCACGGTCCGAACCAGCAGCGACTTCGTCAAGTCCAAATGTCATTGCGTTGGGCAGTTCGTCTCCTAACTATGTAATCACAAAGTATGATGATTCACCGGAAGCTTCTGTTGATTCACTACGAACAGTCAAGAAGCGGCGCAATGAAGTGGTCCACGAGCAGCCTTCTACTTCCACATTCTCCACTCGCTCGGAACAGTTCAGCTCCAGTCCGCCAGAACCAAGAAGGTTTGTAGCTTCTGGTTCCACTCTGGACTCTCCGTTGGCGTCAGGATGCCACTTAGAATCTTCTATTCTGTCAGAGAACAGTGGATCACGAGCACATGCAGAACTTCAAGCTGCTCTTGGGTCCAGCCCAGTCCCAGAAATTCAGTACCCGGTCGTGTTGGCACCCAGGACGGGCACATGGGAAGACTTGGTTGTTCCGAAAAGAGCACCCCGGTTCGCCTGCGAAGATGACCCCCCAGCGAGATGGAATCCGCACCTGTCCACAGTGCTTTCTGAATGGTCGGAAGAAAACCAGTTGGGCTCGTTCCATACGGTGGGTACTGACGATTCATCCGACACTCATTCGATACCCGAAATGCCTCAAGCAGCATACACTCGCGACCGAATGATCGACAACTCAACAACCAGCATCCTACATGATGCAGATCGACGAGAAGCTACTGACACGATCTCGGCTCTGAGAGTTCCGCAGCTTCACAACAAAACGTCTGGCCTTCTTAGCATATTGTCGGGGAGTTCTCGGAGTAATAGCATGAGAAGCATCATCTTGCGAAGAACAAATTCGAGCGGTAGTTTGCACAGCGTCATACGATTTCCTGCATGGGCACGCCGTTACTATTCGCGAGGCCCGTCTGATTCCTTCTACTCTCTTCCATTGGATATCTCCAGTTCAAATCTTTGTCAGCCATCTCTTCCTTCCACTGCACTTAACCCTCCCACTATACAGCCACCATCTCATAGTTTGTTCAGGCCACGTACAAGAGGTGGCAAGAATGCCAGAGAGAGCCATATGCTGCCAGGTATTGGACCTCTGGTTTCGAACCCAAGCCAACACCGACTGTCCTCTTTAGCACTGCATCCCGCCGATCCTCGTTCGCACTGGGCTGGAGCAGAACGGTCCGCCTTACAAGGCGAGCTGAATCATCAACCTCCCGTTGGATCTCGCTTCGCCAATCCATGGTCACCCCATCTGTTTCCCGACAACCGCGCAAGCGGACGCAATCGCTGGCTGGCGCCTTCCATCAATGATACTGGTGCGCCCATCTTCACATTGCGGAATGCGCATATGCTTGGCTTCATGCTGGGTTTCGTCTTCCCGGTCAGCTGGTTCATTGCCGCATTCCTCCCTTTGCCAGCCAAGCCAGTCATGAAGGAGGTGGTGCAGGATCCCGAGGTTGGTGGGTTGACTCTGCAAGAGCAGCTGGATCGTCAGACAACCATAGGAGAAGAAATCAGGTACACAAGTCTCCGGTGGTGGCGCAACCTCAATCGTTTCATGAGCATAGTTGGCTTGGTGGTCATTGCGATCATTGTAAGTCTTGATGATCTACGGATGAATGAATAAGGACAGCGAACTGACTGGATCACAGATTACACTAGCCGTCATTGGAACCCGTAGAGGCTTCTCACCTCGGTAGACACGCCCTGCCATGTTGCTGGATGATACCCCTTGATGTTGTTACGTCTTCATGTCTAGATTTATTTTGATGTTGCATCGTGACTCATGCTTTTATGTTGTACAAGATTTAGACACGTTACTGAGCGGACTGCATCTTTGTTAATTTTTCTTGTCCACTATTTTCCTGCACATACATATTTTCCATTCCTAAAAATGTCTAATTGTGGAGCAGTGTGATTAGGGAGTAATGAGGGCATAGTGTTTCGACAAAGAAGTTCTATGATGACGAGTGCATTGACGCCTTCAGGTTCCTGCTGTCTTACATCCCGAGTAGTAGCCTACATAGAATGAAAGTGCTGGTGCAAAAGATTAAATTGTTCGCATCCTTGGACGGCGTTGTAGATGTTGCCAGGCTAAAGGTAACCTGTTGCCTTGGATAAGAAGGCTGACGCCGCGAAAGGTTAGTGCAGGTGTTGATATTACGGTGGTGTGCCTTGGATACAATCATCAAAGCATGAATGAGCGTGGGATAGGTAGTCGGAGTGCTTACGGAGTACGGAGTAACTGTACATCAGGGTGTAAAAGGGTGCCAAATCAGGGATCCTTTTAACGTTGCTTTTGGCACCTTCTGCACTAACGCTAGAGAGGGGACCTGATTTAGGGGTGCTATTTTTTTTGCAGAATTTCTCTTTATCTACCTAACTTTATTATTATTTTAATTAGATTATAACCTAGTTTTGTTCTTAATATAATTGAAATAACTTAATAAATCTGAATCTTGTTACAGAGTTGATATAGAGGTATTACGTATCACGTTAGAAGCAGGCGACGAGTGCGTGAGATCTTCAGCCCATGTTGAGTGCTATCCTAAGACTAGAGAGTCGACGGTGAGGGCCCTGGGGTCACTTCTATATAATAAGCATGCCCCTTACTAATGTCTAGTGCTAATTAATACTCGGCACTCTAGCGCTAGCAGGCGACAAGCATAGCAGCTGTGATATCACCCCCCCTCTAGAAGACTCAACATGCCCTCATGTCTGATGAGAAGAAAAACAAAACAGTAGCAGCACACAGCAGCAGCACATAGCAAAACAAGCATAACACAACAGCATAGCACGCTGGCCTAATATATCCTTTTGCCATATAGTTACCAGTATCTAAAGAGAGAGATATAAATAAAAGAAGATCCATAGAATAGCAAGGAAACACACAGTCAAGTCAGCGGTATTTGAGCCGGTGACAAGATCAAGCTAACAGCATTATAATGCGCATCACCTTGTTTTCCTGGTTTCTTGAGTGGCTGCTCTATTGTCATCTGAGTGCTCTAAAGGTGACTTATCTTGTAGAGCGCTATTAAGCTAGTGCTAGAGTCGCTTAGGTAGACCAGCTTCCTGTGGGTGCGCGTTGTAGTAAGCTTATAACGCTAGAGGAGCGTTCTGTAAGTTGCTAGCAAGGTATTATGTATCGTCAGGGTCCCATCCTTACTATTGTATCTTGTATTCTAGCTAACCTTTACTAATTCTTAATAACAGAATTCTTTTAATTTCTTACTTAAGGTCTTTATCAACTTTAACTATAAGAGGTAGAGTAAGGATCTAGCTAGAGAGAGGATTATTATCTGCCTTACATAACTAGTCTGTGTGTAGCACTAGTAAGATATAATAAAAGGACAGAAGCTCTAGCTTATAAGAGTGGCCAACCATCTCTAAGATACGAAAGGGGCCTACAACAGGATAGTCCAGCTTGTCTAAGGGCTTATCTGTTCTTCACGGCTTCTTGATAACAAATATAAGGTCTCCTGATTAGAAATCAGGCAAGCGACGTTTCTTATTAGCTTGACAAGCATGCTAAGCTTGAGCTAAGGTTATATTTATTCTAGCCTAGCTTACTGCCTTATTAATACAACATAAGTACTTCCTTGCCTGCTCTTGAGTAGCTCTTTCTTGCGCATTCTGGCGTGAGCCGTTACTCATCTGTATCTAGTCAAAATCCAGACAGGGTTCTTAGCTGTACTTAATCATGTAAGATGTTAGTCCTGTAAATTTATGAACTAGAGCTGACTCTGTAACATCTAGTGCCAGTAAAAAATAAGCCTAGTTGTCTTAGAAGTAGTTTACAAATAATTGAAGCCTTGTATTAATAATCTAATTAATAATTTCTGTTTAGCTATCTGTCTAAGGGTAAGCTAATATTAATAACTTAAGCTTAATATAATAGAGGTAAAATAACTTATTAAGAAAGGCGCTAATAAACTACAGTCCCCTATTACTAGTAATAATCTTTAGGCATCCTTTAAATCACTATATATACTTATAAAAGAGGTCAGCTATAATAGTTATAGTAATTATTTTCTTTATTAGTAAGCAAATATGTCTCTTATTTAACTAATCTATTACTATAAAGATAATGTTACATCTATTACTAATAGTATTAGGTATATAGAAATCTATTAAGAGGTTATTCTATAGTTGAAGAGGGACAGATAAAGAATGCAGAAGACTAGGTATCTTATTACGTAGCTTATAGGATCAACAGCATTTATAGTAGTTAGCAATATAATATACTATATTACTACTCTAATAAGGCTACTAATATAGCCTGGCTACTAAAGCACACGTTTTTGCTTAATCTAGGTGTGCTATAATTATTTATAAGTGAATTTAGCAAAGCAAGTATATATGTAGGTTATCCTTACCTAATCCTGTTATAGCTAGCTAACATGCCTCTATTAAGGTCAGGCTCTCCCAGTTCTCTCTAACAACTTCTGCTATAATGTTAAGGCTCTTGATGTCCTTTATAGTAGCTACTTTTATCCTTGTCAGATCTAACAGCGTCCGAGTTCTCTCTTGCGTCTTGGCTTCCTTCTGTATTAAGGTGGCTTTATTCTTACACTCCTTATTGCTGTAGCTTAGCTAGAATAACGTTGATACTGGATTAAAGATTAGTTAGTATAATTACTCTTAACTAAGCTACTCTAGTAAGGGGATTAGAGAGGTCAAAGAATAGGATAAGATTTCGATAATTAGTCTTAGCATTAAGAGTAAAGTTGTTAGTCCTGGCTAGACTAGATAAGTTAAAGACAATTATATCAAACTAGGTAGCTGCCTCTACGTTCTCATATATTAGTGACTAGTTACTAATAGATGTCACTATTATTAATATGTGGCTCAGCTCTAATAGAGTATCACGTAAGTTAAAGGAGAAATGCGACAGGACCTGAGAGGGTATTATAATTATCAAGATAGGGAAAAGGTTAGTGGCCCTTTTGAACAAGACAGCTATCTAATAGCTCTAGAGTATGTCGACCCTATATTTATATTCCGCCTCAACTACAGAGTCGTTATATATATGCGTATAAAGCACCCTGTTCTTTTACTTGCTAAGTATAAGGATCCCGCTTATTTGAATTCAGAGGTCTGAATCTCCTTGTCTTCTTTAACCTTGTTAGAGGCGCAGAGGGTATCAGAGAGGCTTGCTTTAAACTCGAGTCCGACCTCGAATGTCAACACCGACCCAGAATGAGCTGGCGACGGGTCCAGAGATACAGATCTCTTGTAGTCGATAGTTTAACGACCGTTTCCAGTCAAAGAGCAGTCTTAGGATAATGTCACGTGTCACGTTAGAAGCAGGCGACGAGTGCGCGAGATCTTCAGCCCATGTTGAGTGCTATCCTAAGACTGGAGAGTCGACGGTGAGGGCCCTGGGGTCGCTTCTATATAACAAGCATGCCCCTTACTAATGTCTAGTGCTAATCAATACCCGGCACCCTAGCGCTAGCAGGCGACAAGCATGGCAGCCGTGACAAGAGGCCTCCTGATGAGATAGTGATCCAACTTCACAAAAGAGTTACGCCCAAGTAACTTTAGTTACTTAGGTGTAACTCTTTTATAAAGTTGGATCACTATCTCAAATCTATATATATAAAGCTGCTTCTTTTTCTATAACAATACTATCTTAAAGACCTAGTAATAATAGTTTCACTCTTTTACTTATATAAAATAAAAGACAAAAAGATATTTATAACTATTTAAAGAGCTAATTAATAAATTAAGTTAAAACACTAAATTAATAATACTTAAATGTATAATTAGAGTATAAATGTTGCCTTTGTAGATCTCTAAAGTATTGAATAAGCACTTTTTCTTCCTGTTTCAAAAGACGTTAAGAAATGCAATCAGTTTCAGCTCAAGAGGGTTGTCTAGCGCGTTAATAGGCCACTGTTGATTTTGGCACGCTGTGGTAGCTCGCAGCCTTGCGTATAGAGTCAAATAGGCTTGAATAACCGTCATTTGAGGCCTGCTGAATAGAATGCTCCTTATCGGAGTCCATTTGGAGCTATATTGGTGGAGCTATAGCTGTTCGAAATATGAGGATGCCTGCGCGTTGGTGTGCAGAAATTGGCCCGGAAAGTGGGGTGGCCCGCTAAGTGGTAGTGTATGTTAGTACACAGAAAGACCTGGACCAAGGAACAGCCATCGCAAACGCTCGGCGCTGGTTCCAGATATGGCAGTCTTACATTGCCAAATAATCCGCCCTGTATCTGCACAAGGAAGTCGAGACATTTGAGTACAGTCGCCGGCAACCGCGTGAGAAAAAAAAATAGAGCGTCATGAACTGTTGGGGAGATTGAAATGAATCACATGAGGTTGTGGTCACTTTGAATTCCAACTTTGAATATCGACGTGGCAATCGCTAAAAAGCTGATTTGGTTTTATAAAGGTTGATCGGGTACGTGATCGCTTATTGTGCTTGAGTGAGTTTAGGACGATGGTAGTGGACCGCAAGGCTGCGCATCTGTTCATGTGGTTTCCCTCGAAGCAGGATGAAAGGGTCTATACGTCAAGGTCGATGCATTATGGGACTGGTTGCCAGAAGCTGAAGTACGTAAGCAATTAGGGTATGTGTCTCAGCTGTGCGGGTGTTGAAGTCCGTCCTGGCTGGTCTTCAGATAAGTAGAGCTCAAGCCGAAGCTCCAGATAAGTTGAGCTCAAGCAACGCTGGTGGAGGGTTCTACACGGGAGTGCAGTTTGGCGGGAGAGTGCGCAGACCTCAAGCATCGGAACCGGCCCCAACAGGCCAGGCACAGATGCTTTTATGCTTATCATTGTTGATCTGGAATTTGATATCAAGTGGGCATGCAGCCGGTAAAGCGAACAACCATATCTTGTCTTGCAGCTCGCCCATGAGGGTGCCTAGGAAATTGAGGGAATTTGAGGTGACCAAGTTCAATCTGTTGATCATCTGTTGAGAGTCATCGGAACCGTAGCGGAGAGGCTCGGTGAAGCCCTAAGGAGAGTCTTCCTTGATTCGGAAGTTCACATTAGGCGCTGAGTGTTACGTAATCATTTTTCCTCGATCTGATTTGTTCGCTCGTAGCATCTTGCAGAACGTGGCTTCCGAATGTCCAACTTACCAGGAGAAGGGGTAGCTAAAGATATGGGCTAAGTGCCGTTAGCGGAAATGGCAACTATTCTGTCAAGTAAGCATATTTTGACCATATTATGACCATATTTTGGGCAAAATACGTTACTACAGAGGGAGGCATAATAATTGTTAGGCTGGTGCTAGTAGCGGCTAGTTCCTACTACCCTACCATAGTGCTGCGATTCGTTACCGCAAAGCTTGACTTGAGCACATCCACTCAAACGAGTTACAATTTACGCTTACTCTACTTTTAGCTTAGCTGTTCTGTGAACAATGCGTTTTCGATCAAAGATACTAGCGCTGGACTAACAATACTTCATGCCCTCTCCCAGCATTATTTTAAGAGGCCCTCTTCCTGCTAAGAATAGAATGGACTGTCAAGCTTTTCAGCCTTACAACACGGAAGAGCTTCAGTCATTTACTACGGGGGGGGCCCATAAGTATTGTTAGCTCTGCGCTAGTAAAATTCTCACGACACGCCCTCTTGACAGAACCTCTTGTACGGTGCTATGACCTCACTGTTCTACGCGTTTCTATTGATTCTACGCGTTACATTTGATGAATTTCGATGGATTTCGTATGGATTCTCTTGGTGTTTCTAGCTTGGAATGCAGTCCGAGCTTCTTGAGTCGATGCCAGAGGGGTGCTAGGTAGTAATAGATGCAGAAGGACGGCATACTCGACATTAGAAAAAAGCCAGACTAGTCCTAATTGAGCGATTTGGTGGCGTTGTATCTTGGCAATTACATAGTGTAACAAGCGTCGAGAGCTAACAATACTTATGGCCCCCCCCGTAGTAACTCGAGCAACTGCGCCGCATTTCTAACGTCCTATATCCTTGCACAGACAAGGCTAGACCAAACCCAGAACTTCAGAGAGGTAGATTGCATATGAAAACTTTGTTATCTACGTGTTCTCTTCCTTCCTTCATCAGATTTTGCTCTCTCTATATGTCTATAAGTTATCTATCGTAAGGTTTACTCCAATGTCAACACCACACGGCCTAAAAGAGAAGCAAGATGGAAAGGTCCGACGCAGGAAATTCGGTTCTAAAACCAAAACCGGGTGTCAAACTTGCAAGTAAGTCACTGCTCTTCCGCCGTGAGAATTACTCAGTATCTAACACTCTCTCAACAGAATACGAAAAGTCAAATGCGACGAAACGAAACCCTTCTGCAACCGCTGCACTACCACCGGCCGAAAATGCGACGGCTACCCCTCAAAAACTGCACCCGTCGCTCGTAAATACACACCTCGCATTGTCTGGGTACCAACACGCACAACAGGAAGTACGCCAGAGAAGCGAGGCTTCCAATTCTTCCTTATAAACACCGTCCCCGAATTAGCTGGCTACTTCACTTCTTCATTCTGGGAACATTCTGTATTACAAGCTAGTACCGCAGAGCCTTCGTTACGACATGCCATTATTGCTATTGGGGCTTTACACGAGGAGTTTCGGAGTAGAAGATTAATGTCTACTTCATATGGTGAGAAAACGTCCACACGGATTGATGAGGATATGGGAACGGCTTTTGCTATTGATCGTACGTACCAATGCGACAGGACACTATCCGCCAAAGTAATCACTAAACTGGCAAACTCCTTAGAATACACCAAAGCCCTCTCACACCTCCGACGCTCCCTCAGCTCTGGAAAACAAGCCCCCCTCACAGCCCTAATGTCCTGCGCCCTCTTTGTCTGTTTTGACTCTTTACGCGGGAACTTCGAATCCGCCTTTCTCCATCTGAAATCCGGTATTCGAGTATTAAGAGACATACGTATGGGAAAACTACAAGCAGAAGACCACTATATCATCCAAAAGAATGTCTTACCGCTCTTTGAACGGTTGAGTATACAAGCTTATCTGTATATTGATACTAGAGAAACCGAGGCCAGGGTAAGGTTCTCGAGGGAATGGGGAGGTATACAGAGTATAAAGGGGGTAGAAGAGAAGGAGTTTAGAAGTCTCGAAGATGCGAGGGACAGCTTATATAGAGCTGTTGGGGGACTGATTAGGGCGCTTTTTGCTTGTCATGGTATACTTCCATTCTCTCTATATCCCTAGTCCTCTGATATCTAGTCGGCACATACTAACCAAATCCCAAGGCGACCTACCAATGGGTCTCCAATCCATAGAAGTGCTTCGTTTATTTAAAACCTACAGCACGCTACTCCACCAATGGGACCAAAAGTTTAGCACCTTTATGGCCCAGAACTCCGCGACCCTTTCCCTTCGCCAAATCCGTGGCGCCGCCCTCCTCAAAATCCACCACACCATCACGCAGATAATGTCCCTCATAGCACCCATCTCGCCCGAGAACCCCGACCACATGCAAACATCCATAACCGTCTCCATGAACGCCCCCTCAGCTTTTATCCCACACACCCAGAAAATGATCGACATTCTCAACCTGTCCCGCTCCCTCCTTACAGCCACAGACCAAGATTCAAAAAACCGGGAACCGTCTTTGACGTTCTCGAGTGATTTAGGTGTGGTGGGACCACTCTACTATGTATGTACGAAGTGTACGGTCTTGGAGGTTAGGAGAGAGGCGATGGAGTTGTTGCGAACGTATAAGAGGAGGGAGGGGATGTGGGATAGTGATACTGGGACTAAGATTGTAGGGGAGTTTTGGGAACTTGAGGAACAACATAATGCTTTGCAGAGGGAGGCCGGAGTTGGGCGAGAAGGGGTTACCATGAGGGAGCGTGTACGCCTGGTGTTGGAAAGTGAGGCGGGGTGGAGGTGGACTATGTGTTATAACGAGGGAGAAGAAGCGATTTCTGATGGAAACGGGGGTGATACGTGGTGGGGCCTGTTGAATGGGCAGGGTGGACCCCGTGAAGGAGAGATTTTGCTTGTAGGTGGTGGAGATGAAATTGGAAGGTGGAGGGAGGATTCTTTATGGATAGATCATCTGGCTAACATGGATAGGAGCGTATTTCTGGATACTTTGAGCGGTGATGACCCATTTGGCACTCCTGTCAACTTTTTACATGAATAGATAGATTATAGTATGATGCAGAACGAGTGGGCCTCGGAGTTTGTGGGACATTTGAACTTTTTAAGCGACCTTTGATGTTCTACTTGAGCTGAGACATCAAGAGGTTAGATGTGGTATAGCTTTCTTGATGTGTCCATAAGATTTCGAGTATCAAAAGCATGTGGTTGCATCCTGTCTATCAGATCTTCAACGTCAAATCCAAAAAAAGACATGATATGGGCACCATGATTTCTGACCCCGGCAAATAAAGCGCAAGAAACTTCTTCATCTCTACGGATGTGAAAGTCTACCTCCGTACTTCTACCTAAAACCTGTCGCGCGCTCCTCTCTACTCACTACAGCTGTAATCGACACTAGTTTAACACATTGATAGGTAGCTGAAAAGGGCTTTGTCTCATTTCCCTAGTTTAAAATCTCTCTTGTGGAGAACAAGAGCCCATTCAATGCTTGAATAAATGGGTAGAGACAATCGAAAATTAGCTGGAAATTACAGTAATTGTGACGATTCTGTCAGGTGGGGCATTTCTCAGCGCAGCATGGTTCTTGTTCAGTATATCCGCAAAAGGGCGTATTGATTCTTGAAAGATCGTTTCCACGTTACGTATGTCAGAATCCCTGCGCATACGATACGTATCTGTTACGTATTAGCAGGATGATACAGGGGTCCCCGCATGCGAAACGCTCTTGTAACTTTTACGCCCTGTTATTTATGGCAGTGAGCATTGCTATACGAATTGAACGCCAAATGCTGTTTCTGAGCTGTTGCAGTAATGCGCTTCTATAGCTATTAGTGTGAGCCAAATGCTCCTCTTGATAGGAGTAACTCAATCAATTCAATTGGTATCTCCGTACGCTATTTGCTACATCCTCTAACAACGTAATGTTCAAGTCATACATCTTATCATTTCTTTTTTCAGAGAGTAGATCAATTTCCGAGCTTGTATAAATTGCAAACATCGCTTGATGAGACGGTTTGGCCTACTTGGCATCGTGTCTTGAGAGCTACTAGAGCGTCAAATCAACAACGGGGTACTTATCTGCTGCCGTCAGCACTGACGCTTCCACTCTCTAGTGACTGACTTAGATGCTTCCAAAAGGCACCAATTCAAGGCTCAACGAAACAATGCGATCAAAAGCACTGCAAGCAGTGGTGTTGAAGAAGGATTCGATACTCCTGGCTCCAGCGGGTCGAATGTTTCTTTGAATACAATCCTTTGAATGAACGATGATGGCCATGTGTCGTCTCCTCAATCGTCGAATATGTTGAGCTCTATGTTGACATTGGGGTTCCAAAGCGCCAGGATTCACCAAACACAACGTTTCAAACGGACCTACCTAGCTATTACGAGTCGATCTTTGGTGGGGCGTATCAGTCATTCCATGGAGGATAAGAGCCATCCCTTCTTTATAATAGAAAGAAACTCTATTATAACACTAGTATTATTATTAATAAGTAGCAAGAATAAAAAGAATAATCACTGAAGATCGGTAGACACCAAAAGAGGGGAATCATCTTTTGGGGTTAGGAGGGTTCTCTTTTTAGTCCGAGGGGGTGCGGTTTTTCATAAATAACGAAATAGAGGTGGAAGTGACAGAAAGAGAGGTACGGATCATATGACCACAGAGTGCAACAGGTGTCAAAAGTGGCGACAAAGACCGCCGAAATCAGCGTCCTATATCCCGGTATCTAGAGTTATGCTATAGAGATCGTAAAGACAGAGACTATAAAATAACATTGCTACAGGTTTCCTCGACTGAACGCCACACATAGGGAATGAAGCGGTCACAGTAAGCTGCAACAAAGGTAGCCACTCCCACAGTATCCTTATGCAACAATAACCTCTACAGAGTTGCTCATAGTGCTTGCAGCAATGCATATCTTACAAGGAGTTCAGATCGCCGCGGTGAAAGCTTTAAAAAATCATGCTGCAAGTCTTAATACATGCCACTGAGCCAGGTTGGTGTCACGTACCTGAAAAAAGTCTATAGAAGCGTCTGTTCATGTCTGTTCAATGAAATCTATTACAGATGATAGTTGCAGACTTAAGCGCAATATGTGATAAGAAGAGCCCTAGTATATTTGGGAGAAAGAATAGAGGAGTATTTAAGAAGCAATATATCAAGAGCATATCATCTTTATTATTGATAATTAGATATGTACAAATAGAGATCTAACGTTTATATAAGATTCTACTCCTGCTTATGCTGCTAAGGGCACTATTTGAGATCTTCGTCAACGTGGTATCTAATACATTTAATAGCCTGCGTATTCGCCAGATTTGAATCTAATTAAGATGGTATAGATTACACAAGCACGATGAGCTACGTGCAGCTGTTAATGCTGCATGGGATGCTGTGCCTTCTGACTATCTTGTGGAGCTGCTTAGATCTATGCGAGAGAGATGTCAAGCAGTTATAGATGCAAAAGGAATGCAAACTCGATTTTAGAGACTAGTCCTAATTGGGCGATTTTATTAACGTCTATACTCAATTCTGTATAGTCGATTTGTACGAATACTAGCGTTTTCACCAGGGGGGGGTACATTATTTAGGCCTGTACCCGTAGTAGTAATGTATGGCAGGAGGCTGGCTGACTCATGTTAGTTACTAGTGGGCTTGGCACCAATCTCCAAGCCCGGCCTTTTTTTTGGCAGCGTCCTTAACTAGTGGCAGCCTCCTTCTCCACTGCATACTGCATATCTATGTAACCTTCGCTTACTCGACTTCCAAGCTCATCTCCAGCGCGTCAAAGCACCTGTCCCCCCCCTTCGCATTCCCAGTTGCTTCGATTCTTCACCTGCATCTACATCTACATCCGTGTAGAATCAGCGAGCCTTGACGAAGATGAGCTAGCCGGCACGTTAGTTACGCGCAGCTTCCTGGCCTTCTCTTTCCAGCTCGACTGCGCTTCTCCGTCATCTCGCAGCTACGCGAAAAGCCCATCCGTTTTCGAGGCCAAACAATTTCTTCCATTCGTCTCGCGTCTTCAGCCTTTGAAGCGTCACGCGATCGCACTTCAGTAGTACTGTCCTTCTCTGATCGCCCGAAATCAACATGTCTACATTTGGTGGCTTCTCCGGCTTTGGCCAGAGCAACAACCAGAATACAGGTGGTTTTGGCAGCACTAACAACAACTCTACCACGTCAGGTGAGCCACATTCTCCCGCTTCCATCAGCTTTTGTTCCCCTTCTACGCCACGGCGTACAATACATCACGCTGTGCGACTCCTCCTTGAATTCTGACATTTTCATCACCTCGAACAGGCTTCGGTTCGGGCTTTGGAACCTCATCTACGACAACAAATCCATTTGGAGGTGGCGGTGCTACAGGTGGCTTTGGGTCTGGAGGTAGGTCTGACCTTCCGCAACCACTATATACCGGTTCTGGCACAGTCTATGACGGCTCACTACAGCAAATTCGTATCACGGATGTCATGCTACGCCTACTAACGTCTCTTCTATAGGCGGTTTCGGTCCAAGCTCAGGCGGTACCTCGCTCTTCGGTCAAAGCAAACCAGGCTTTGGTGCCACAACATCGGCAGGCACTAGTCTATTCGGCAACACTGCGACCGCTGGCTCAGGCGGCTTCGGGACCGGGAGCAGCCCATTTGGTGGAACAACAGTTAATAGCAGTCCCTTTGGAGGCGGCAATACCGGAGGGGGCTTCTCCTTTGGGCAGTCCAAACCTGCCTTCGGAAGTGGAGGTGGGACGGGGCTGTTCGGGTCATCTAGCAGCGCTACTGGCACAACGGGCTTTGGAAACACTCAAACCAATCCATTTGGCCAGGCAGGTGTAGGGACGGCATTAGGACAAGGCGTACCGCCCAGTGAAGGCACTGCCATCACACCTTTTAATCCAACAAACGAGAAGGACCCAACGGGCAATGGGACGAACAGTTTTCAGAGCATCAACTTTATGCCAGCATACTCAAAGTACTCTTTCGAAGTAAGTCTACTGATCAATAAGCAGAGCGCTTCTGACGATTGCTTAGGAACTTCGCCTGGCAGATTACGACAAAGGCAGACGGTACGGAAACGGTAGTGGCCAGGCAGGAGGCTTTGGTGGGGGTGCATTCGGAGGAGGCACCTTCGGAGGACAAACTTCCACAGCGTTTGGTGGAACCGGAAGCAGCAATCCTTTTGGCGCAACAAGCTCTAGCGGAACCGGTTTTGGACAGACCTCTACCGGCGGCTTCGGCAGCGGCGGCTCCACCAGCTTTCTCAGCACGAACAAGCCGGCAGCTGGTGGGCTCTTCGGTGCACAATCCACCTCTACTACCTCTGGGGGACTGTTTGGTACAGCACCTCAAAGCACAACTTCAGGGTTTGGAAGTACAGGAGGCGCCTTTGGTCAAGCTGCAACCAGCTCGAATCCTTTCGGTGCCAGTCAAGCCCAAAGCAAGCCTGGCCTCTTCGGTGGCACCAGTGGTGGTCTTGGGAGCAGCACTACGGGAGGCGGCCTATTTGGTGGTGCTGGCTCGACTGGCTTTGGAGCTAACCAGTCAACGCAGGGCTCGAACCCTTTCAGTGCTTTTGGCACGCAAAACCAACAGGGTCAGCAAGCTCAAGATCAGAACAAAGCCGGAGGTCTCTTCGGAAGCGGAGGCTTTGGGACTACGCAAGCGTCCCAAGCACAGCCCTCTGGTGGTCTGTTTGGCGCAACTCAGCCTGCGACAGGTGGTGGTGGGCTCTTTGGCAGCGGTACGACAGGGCAAGGCTCGACTGGGTTTGGAGCAAGTGGTCAGAGTACTGGTGGAGGTCTTTTCGGTGGATCTGGCACGCAACAACAGAAGCCAAGTTTGTTTGGTGGAACCGGATCTTTTGGAGGTACGCAGAACCAAGGCACTGGCGGACTGTTCGGTGGAACTGGCACTACCTCCCAACCACAAGGAGGTGGGCTTTTCGGCGGGACTCCCGCAAACAATGCTGGTGGTCTGTTCAGCAACACCCAGCAGCAACAGAAGCCCAGTCTGTTCGGAACCAGCCAACCTAATCAACCCGCACAGAACAACAGTCTTTTTGGTGGGCAATCCACCAACAGCCTGTTCAATACCTCCCAACAGAGCCAACAGACAGCCCAACAACCTCAAGCGTTTCATTCTTCGCTTTTGGATGGCAATCCTTACGGGCAGTCCTCAATCTGGTCTGGGCTCCCGGAAGCCACACCACAGAACTCTGGGCCGCTTGTTACCCCTCTGTCTGCCAGCCAGCGCTTAAAGGAAAGCCAGATGAAAGCAATCCCATCTTTCAGGTTGTCCTCGTCCAAATTGATGACTCCTCCACGACGCTTAGGCTATGGCTTCACCTATTCCACTTATGGCAGTCCGAATAGTGCTGCAAGCACACCAAGCGGAGGAGGCTTGAGCAGTAGCATGTATGGCAGAAGCTTTACCGGCGGTAGTTTTGGCCGATCTATGGGTAAAAGCTTCTCTGCAAGCAATCTGCGGCAGCAATTTGCAGCAGATGGTGAAAGCGTCCTAAGTCCAGGTGCTTTTGCTCCTGGCAGCTCCAGATACTCGAGCGGAAGCATTCGGCGACTAACCATCGATCGCAACCTCAAGACGGATCTTTTCAGCCGTTCAGCTCCAGCTCAGCCGACTCTGCCAGCTCCATCAAGCAGCGCAAATCGTGTCGCGAATGGCGCCACGACCAGTGCCACGAATGGGGACAATACAAACAGTAACGGCACTACAGAACAGCCGAGCAAGCTCAAAAAGCGCGTCAGCTTCGATAAAGACGCAACTGGCGGCACACAGGATGGTTCCATAAATGGTGTGAATGGTGCCTTGGTCCGTACGGAAGATGAGAGTCCAGAGCCAAGTGCTGAAGAACAGGGATTCCTCCGATCCTCCCGACGAGGTAATCCAACCGATGGAAGTGCTTCCGCTCCTCCACAGATGGAGCAGGTTCGTGGCAACGAGCTGGCCGTTGTGCCTGAAGATCGTGAGACGGACAGTGTTGTCTCAAAAATGCGGCTGCCCAGCGATGCACCGGCCGCTGTTGATCCCAAACCTGGCGAATACTGGATGAAACCATCTCGAGGAGAGCTTTCCAAGATGCCCCGCGAGAGACTGCAGCATTTCAAGGGTTTCCAGGTTGGACGACAGGGATGTGGCTACGTCACATTCGAGGACGAGGTCGATCTTACCACAGTCCCTCTGGATGATCTGTTTGGGAAGATTGTTGAAATCAGAATCCGATCTATCTCAGTCTACTCCGACGCGCACAACAAACCACCGCGTGGTAAAGGACTTAATGTGCCCTCTACCATTCATTTGGAGAACTCGTGGCCTCGCGCTCGTGGTGCCCCTTCGTCTGCCACCAGTGGACCTTTATTTGACAGACACATTGCTCGGCTCAAGAAAATGCCAAACACGCAATACGTCAGCTACGACACTCAAACAGGAGTCTGGACCTTCCAGGTACCTCATTACACCCGCTACGGACTCGACTTTGATGACGAGGATGAAAGCGGCAACGAATCTCTTGACAGCGCGCTCAGCGACCTTCCGGAGGATATCACCGAGCCTGGTCAGACGTCTCGAGCTGAACATGCAGCTGACAGCATGATGGATGTCGATGGGCACACCACTGAAGATTCTTCGCCGGAAGAGGACACCTTCGAATTCAGAAAGACGAGCGTACCGGGCGACTTCGACCGCCATTCTGCCATTGACTACCATCAGGACGAATCTGCTCTGGATGATGTTGCCGCGAGTGGAGTCTCGGGCTCTGACAAGTCATACGAATCAGATGAACAAGACTCAGGCGAGGAGATGAACATGGCTGGATCCTTTCCGCAACCAATGCATCCGACTGATGCCCTGGACACTCCGGCTAAGTCGGCGATGAAAACCAGCCAACACCCATGGGACACACCCGGTCGGCCTTTGATTGATCTCGATGGTGATTGGGCAGAGCAGCTGCAACGCACTATCAGTCCTCGTAAGCAGAATCGAGAAGCACTGCGGGAAGTCCAGGGAAATGTGCTCCTGCACCGAGTCAGCTCACCCACGAAACAACAGACTGTCAACAAGCAGAACGAAATCCGAACGAATATCGATCTAATGAATTCCTTGTTCGGTCAGCATGAGGAACGGATGGCTTTGAGCAGGCAGAAGATTGAAGGAGAACATGGTATTGAGGTTTGATTCCCTTCCCAATTGCTTTTGATGAACATGACGAGTCGGACAATGTACCAATGTGAAGTCCAGTGTTTACCGGGTCAGACGTTGAGCCCATTCATGTATGTAGGTAGCTAATCAAATGAACAAATTGCTGAATACTTTTCTCTGCTAGTATCCCTATGCCAAACGTGCTAAGACATTCGACGCGAACGCTGAGATGACTAGCCCGGACCAGAAGTGGCATAACTCTTTTCCCGTGAAGTGGACACCCACTGGATCACTGCTTCACGCTTGGGAGGGTCTATCCCCTGCCACGGCAGAGCATGCCTGGACATGGCGCGACACCAACCTCAACATCAGCCGGAAAAGAGACATCGTTGAGAGTTCTCTGATTGGCGACGGTCGAACAGTGGGTAAGCCATCCCTGAGGTGCTATTGAATACTGACCTCAGCCAGTCTTACAACAATTCTGAATGGGGGTGGCACAATGCAAAGATCACCGTCGCTGATGATGTTCCGTTGGCAAAGCAGAAACCTCTAAAGTTTTCAACATTCTGCGAGCAGATTACGCAGCGTGACCAGCAGGTAGGTCAGACCGACGAATCCAAATCGGAACTAGACATCTACGAACTCGCCCATGTCCTGTTTGACAAGTATGACGACAAATTCTCCAAGGGTCTGAATCCATCGCAGAAGAGCAAATTTGCGGAACGAATCCGAAAAGACAGGTTGTCAGAGTTCTGGGCTGCTTTGATTCAAGAAAAGCATGCAGAGCAGCTGCAGAGCACTCCGAGTGAAGAAAATGCCATCGCCTTACTCACTGCACACCAGATCCATGATGCTTGTCACCGGCTCTCTGACCTAGGCAGTCCTCGTCTGTCAATAATGATCGCTCAGCTCGACGCCGCTGATGAGCAGTTTCAGTCGGACATGGCAGGACAACTTCAAGCATGGCGAGATCAGAACATGGTCTCAGAGATGAGCGAGCCGATTCGCGCCTTGTATGAGCTGCTTGCAGGCAACACAACAATCTCGGAGGGGAAGTCTCAGGGCCCCCTCGAAAATCGTGCATCAACCTTTTCCATCTCCGAACGATTCAACCTCGACTGGACGCAAGCGTTCGGCATGTGTCTATGGTACGGTAAAGCCAAGAATGGAAATATAGAAGATGCTGTAAAAGAGTTCGCCGAGAAGTTGGCAAGCAAGCAAGAATCCGCTGTGCCTTTCCCAGATGGGGGGAGTGGTGGCGAGCAACAACACCCTCTTTGGGTACTCCTACAGCTCTATGCCGCCACCAAAGGAGCGCAAGAAGATGCCCCTACCCTCCCACAAGCTCTTGCACCGCTAACCCGCGCCTTCGATAACCGCATTCCGTTTCAGCTCTACCACGCCCTCGTCGCGAACATACCCAGTCTTCCCATCTCTTCCGAATTAGCAGACAAACTGGCAATTGACCTCTCTTTCCAGCTCTCTGCTTCATCCTTCCCCCTTGGCGCCATCTTTGCCTTGATGCACATCTCGGAACCCCACATCCGCGAATACCACATCCGAGATGTCCTTATCCGCCATGCTGCCACATTACCCCAAATGCTCGACCGCAAAGCCGCCGAGATCGACAAACAGTGGCAGATCCTGATCGAAAAACTCAAGATACCCGCGACGTGGATATGCAGAGCCAAAGCGTTCTACTTCCGTGCCATACATCAGAGTCTCAATGAGTTGAGGTATCTGCTCCTAGCACAAGAATGGGTTGAGGCGCATGAATGTCTCTGTCGCAGGGTTGCGCCACGAGCCGTCATAGAAGAAGACTGGGATGTCATCAAGGTGATGGTGGGGCAGTTTGGAAACCAAATCAAAGAGCGGGTACAGGATTGGGGTACTGGTGGTGGCATGTACGAGGATTTCGTGATATTGATCGATTCAGAGAATAGCACGATAGAGACTAGGGAAGGGAGTCAGGAAAGAGAAGCGAGGATCAAGAGGCTGCAATCTGCGCTGGAGGAGGTAGGCAGGACGTTCAAGAAGAGGGGCAGCAATCTCACGGCGGGAGGATTAGAGGAATTGGAACAGAGGGTTGCGTGTCAGGAAATGGCGAGGAGAGTTGCGGATTTGGTTGCGCGGGACCAGGTACGAGCCAACCACTTCTCTATCAACTCTGAGTTTTCTGGCAAGATCTAGCGATTGGCTGACTTCTTCTCAAACAGAAACAGAGCAGCCTTCTTGAACTGCCACTCACGGCGGATGCGAAACTCGGTCACGCGACGGAGTTGGCCCGACGACATTACCGTGCTGTTATGGCGACAGCTCGTTAAGGACTGATGTATTTTGCCGGGGCATACAGCCCATGGTCATTAAGGTCCCGGCGACAAAGCTCTCCCTTCTTCGAGATACTATGCCCCTCAAGACGAAAACCTCCGAAGCTGAAGAAAAAGTTCGGCTCAAACGCAAAGAACAGAACAGAATAGCAGAAGAGATCATAGCATAACACATGCCCCAGGAAGGAGATCGGGAACGAAGCTACTTGGTTTTAATGCAGCCAAGTTCTCTCCTTGAGCTTCCTCCGTGACAGTCGTCTCTCCCTTCCTACGAGCAAGAACCTACTATGTGATGCCATAATACCCGGATTCCCCCAGCCACGGTTCCCATCACCTTCGTGTAGAGATTTAAGCCTTCTCGTTATTTAGTGCACAATCCTCAGTTCCAATGGCGCCACTTCATCCGGAATCAGGCTCACTCATCATTGGGAATTGTATTGATCCCAGCACGCGCGAGGAAGGTGAATGATTATGACATGGCTACTTGGAATTCGGGAAGAGAAGATGTGAATATCTGGTCGGAATGCAGTAGAAACCTTGGAAGTAGGCTGGACTGGCTCTAGGATTGCATGATATATATGCTTAGGCAGCTGCATGTGAATGTTTACATTGAATGACCACTTCTATCGACTTTAACTTCCATATTCCTGCCACGGAGATGCTAAGCAGAATGCCGCCGCCGCCACCACGCTTCCTTCTCATCCCATGCACAATCCTCCCCAAGACCACCCTCACGTTTTGCTCTCACCCAGTACGACTCACTTGTGCGCCTCGATCACCTTCTGCACCTCATCATAACTACCCAAGAAGATTCCACTTCGATCGTGAATATGCTCGGGCTGGACTTCCAGCATGCGCGCCATCTTGCCGTCGACGGCTTGACCGCCGGCATTCTCAAAGACCATGGCCATTGGCTGGGCAAAAAGGTTAGTCGATATAATGTACGATTCGACAGTTGGCAGAGCGGAGCGAATGGGACAGATTGCATAGAGCAAGACGCCTGATTGGTAAGACTCACAGCGCATTCATATAAAATCCTCAGTTTCCCCTTGGGAGACTTCTTGTCGGTAGGGTAGGCGAATATGCCCCCATAGAGGAGGGTTCGGTAGGCGTCTGCTACCATACTGCCTGTAATGATATACCAAGTATCAGCCAATTCTTTTGCTCCTAAGGCAGATTTTTTGGATAGAGTGGCTACCGAGATAGAAGAAGGTGACCTACCGATATACCTCCCAGAGTATGGCTTCCCGCTTTCCTCTACAGGATACTTTAAACTTTCAAAATACTTCTTCGTATTGTCTTCCCAGTACAAACTGTTTCCCTCGTTCACACTGTATATGGCCCTCTTCTTTGGTATCTTCATGTCTGGATGCGTCAAGATGAACTCGCCCAACGCGGCATCCAGGGTGAACCCATTCACGTTTCCTCCCTTCATCGTTATCACCAACTGAGCCGAAGCACCGTACATGGTGAAACCAGCCGCAAGCAGCTCGGTCCCTGGCATCAATAGGTCGTTCTTCGTCACTTTCTTCCCAGCACCAACACATCTATCCGGTAGCTTGAAGATTCCAAAAATCGTCCCAACACTGACACCAGCATCCAGGTTCGAGCTACCGTCGATGGGATCGCAGGCAACTGCATATCTTGCATTTGGATGTTCGTCAAAAATGATGGCTTCTTCCTCTTCTTCGCTAACGACCATTCGAACACGGCCAGAACCGCGCATGGATGCAATAAAGATGTCATTGCCAATGACATCAAGCTTCTTCTGATCATCACCGGTCGTGTTTGAGGATCCGGCCAGACCAGACAGGTTCGCAAGACTGGCACGTCGAATCCAGTATGCAATCGACTTGAAGGAGAATTGGAGGGCGTGGAAGAGAAGACTGCATGGCGAGATTAGCAGGAGGCGTACTGAAGCGGTTGGAGAGAGTGTGATAGTCCGTACGTGAAATCTCCTGTGGCTTCTTTATGTTTGGCTTGTTCCTCGGTAAGGAATCTGGTGAGAGTGACGATATCGGTCTTGACCTGCTCGTTCGAAGTGGGAGGATGAGTCGTGCCGTGGGCGCCATTGGTTGCCATGATTGTGATGCTTCGATGGTTGTTTGATGCTTTGCTAAAAGAAGGGAGGTGATCAATTTTCGTACAAGTCAAGTATTGTCACACGTAACAATCTCGGCAGAAGGGAAGGTCGGCCACCACAGAATTGGCTGGAGTCGGCAACGTAGTTGGAGAAGTTGAGACTAAGGAAAAAAAGGATGAGAAAAAGACAATTCCACGCCAAAGAACAGAAAAAAACAGAAAAGAAATAGGACATCTACAAGGAGCTTGTGGTGAAGCAGTGATTTTTGAGGTCAGCCCTCGGGACATCCATTGATTGCGAGCATATGCAACGGCATGACACCCTCTAATGTTGGCTTCTTGTCTCCGCATTTTCATGTGCTCCACCAGAAGTTCCCCGCAGAAAAGTGAGAGAGCGAGAGAGAGAGAGAGCGCGCCTTGGCAATCAGGAGAAGAATCACCCGGTTTCTCCCGTCCATCCAAGTCCGGCTTGCTGCTTACCCGACTGACCGACGGCATCGGAAGACGATGTGACACTCGCGAGAGCATGACTGCTGCTCATTTGCCGTGATTCATCTTCAACATCTTCAAAATCTTCCAAATCTTTATGGAAGCTGCCACAAAATAGAACCTCTATTGGGTGGCTGTGGCCCAGTCAGGCCGAAAGTCGTTCAGTCGGCTGGGAAAGCCTGAGGCCTGTCCCTTTCTTTGGATTGCCCCAGCATTCAAGGGGGCATATCGAGCGGTTGCTCTCATCTCGGTTTGCTTTTTTTTCTCTCTTTTTGTTCTAGTGGCGAAGACAGAAAAAGCCTGGCCAATAGAGGACCATGGCCGGAAAAAGGAATGGTTACGGAAGTACGTTGTGTCGTCTATTGGAAGGAAATATGGTAAATCAGGCAGACTCAGAGCCGATCATACATCAACGTGGGCATTTGAAACTGCTGCAGCAGACGGGTCGCCATCGGCTCACTATCTGAGTCCACCTGGTCATTTACAAAAGAGATAAAGCCGCGATGACCACAGCTCAACCCCAGGGGTCTCGCCTTCTGGACTAAACAACAGGAAATCGATGAACCACAATAGCAAGATGGTAAATCACAACTCTACGTTAACAGCACCCAAATCCCAAAAGAAGGGCTCGACGTAAATACAACACTCATGATTTGAGACCTTGGTCTTGCTCGCTGTATATTGCGAAATTCTTGCACAAAACTTAATGGTTGTAGGGAGTTGATACCCGCCGCTCGGTCGCACAGATATGGCTCGCAAGGACTAAATAAATAGACTCATGAGATATTTTCTTTAGATTCTTCTTGATTGAATAAAGTGTGAATCAAAGCATTCTAAGCAGGCTCACTAGGATCTAATAATGCTGAACTTGGACATGTCAACCAGTTACGAAGTTAACAACAGCGAAAACTTAGAGTGCTTAGTTTGTTCAGTAGAACCGTGAGTTTTGTTCAAGGGCTACAATCGAAATCTCAACGAACCAGCCTTGGACTCTATCTTGAGAGCGTCCGACGGGCAATGAATCCTTTGCATGTATGGCATCGATATCTCTGCTGAAGTCCTGGATTGTCACAAGCCCCAGGTAGAACATCTACTCGCAACCACCAGACTACCAATCCCAACCCAGGATCGTCATTCACGTTAAAGGCGTGCCCAGTGCTTACAATTAAAGTGATTCTCTCTGCACCGTCCGTACGGGTTTACTCCTTAGCATCTTATGCAAGTGCATGGCTCAGTGAGTCTCCTCCGTCATCAAACTTTTGATCGGTATATATCAAGGGTGGTAGCTCCGGCTGGGCTCGTACGTTAAGGCAGGTGATATTCCACCGTGTACTCTTGACATTCAATCCGTACGCTGTGGTGTGGTCTACGGAAGGCAGGAACTTCTGTGAAATGGGAAATATCAATCAATTTGGTTCCATTGCACTGTCGAAATAAGGCAACAAAAGGCATGGGAACCAGCGTGACGGGAGGCATCGGTTTGGCGGCATCTTGCGGAAAGCTTGCGCACCCCTCAGATGTTAGGAAGCTCATAGCTGGTAAATATTGGACTGTGGGACGTAAGGTCATGATGATGAATCAGTACATATTCAGCGTCAGGAAGTCCCAAAGAGGAAGAATAGTGTAGGCAATTCTGGATATTCAATAATGCGTATTTATAAATCCATTTCGACGTAAGAGGGATTTGGAATTCCCAACGCCACAGTGAGGTCGTGAGTCGACGCACCTCCCAGTTGCATGAATAAATCGCATTTCGCTGCTTTCTTATAAGCGAGTCGAAAAAGAATCACGCCGTTGTCCCATATTGCCATAAGTACTTATGTTGTCACACTCTATTTGTTCCTCGAAGAACAATCCACATCCAAATCACATGTGTTGTTCAGCCGCATTCTTCCTCTTTCTTCAAAGGCGAAGATTTTTCACTCTCACCGCTGCTTAAATGTATCAGCTCATTCTCCTCTTGCAGTAGTTAGTTAGCTTTAGGCTGTCATATTGAAAAGATTTGAGCCAAGCTTCCTCACCGCTGCTGCCATGAAGATGAACCTGCATTAGGTATATCGCTGGCTTCTAAGGTGAAATATCTGCTGGCTAGCCAGCGGCCGAACTCTGAAGGGCTCAAGGACTCAAGGCCTGGAACCTTCCGCTGATGCCGCTTTGGTGCAGCTTCAAATTGAAAGGAAGAAGAACTGTTGGAGGATGAGTTCACACATGATTCATGAACATCATAGGATACACTCAATCAAACGTGTACGACTAACACTGGCAGAACATTACCTAACAAGCTTTATTCTCACCTATAATTGACCAAAATCGACATTTTTAGCACAACATGCCCATAGGCTATTCTGGTTTCAGATATATTGCGAGGCGTCCGCCAGAACGGACTTGAAACTCTATGCTGTACCTAACTAGCAACAGCGTGAGTGGTGCTGTGGCGGACAATAACTTGATTCCAGTGAAATGTTGTACGACAAGTCACTGCCTCCAATAAATCATGGTAACTATACTTTCCTTGCAGCTTACGGGGTATATTCTGCATACTACTCGCTTGTATGTCGGTGGTTGTGGGTACCCAGGGCGTCTATTAGATGGATGATCTACACAAAGTCGAACACGCAATATGGACCTCAGAAAACAAAAGTGAACCTTGCTCGCTGCAGCGACTGGGCGGCAACTCCCATTAACAGCGGCAATGACGTTGACCTTGGTAGAAGATTGGTTGGTCGAGGAGAGGACTTGTCAAACCGTTGCGCATTAGTTCGCAGGTTGTGTTACTCTGTAACGGAAGTAGTAGCGGGTATGACAAGTGTAAAGCTCTGAGAACTTCAACGACCAGAGCTCGTGTTTATTGATTGATGCTATTGTTATTTCATTCTTTTGCATGAAGAATGTCTACGTTTGCGTTGGAGAGAAGATGCTCGTTGACACAAGCAGTGGCCAGAAGATTCGATCTCATTCGACAAGCGGCGCTTTGCAAGCAGATGACATGTAAGCCACTAACTAGCAATGGTTCGATGAAACATGACATGATGCTTGTTCACGTCAGTGGAGTTGTGCTTTCTTCAGGGTCCTCGAGCACAGGGGCTGGTTGCAGGAAGGCGGGGCAAGCCCGCACTTCACTCCTTCAAACCAGGTGTGATGATAGGAGGAGTGCACGTTAGGCGTGGGACCTGGGACCTGGGACCTTGCTTTGTTTGTCAACAACGCTGTCGAGAATTTCCCAGGCAGTCCGAGTCTCGAGCTGCCCGCTTCGCATTGTTGCTAATTCGAACCAATCAGCATTCATGCCACGACCATTGAGCATGATTGTTACTGGTTGTCGGAGTCGCTTTTCAAACAGACCATACATAGCAGCATGTTCGCCACAGACACCTTACCACATGAGTCGAAGAAAGAAATAGTAAGTCACATTACTTTGTCATGGGGCCTGATGACTGGAGTGCTAATCCTTTGTCCATTCCAGGCGGTATGTTAGTCAGAGACAGGCCGATTCCAGAATCGAGAAATCTCCCCAAGATGGCCTCGTGATCATTGTTTACTTCTATTGATCTAACTTGTCTGAGACTGAGCTGTGTCTGCTTCAGAAATGAGATGGGATAGCTTCATGCGTCTAAAATGGAGGGCGGCAGATGGGCGGATGATTGGCTGACGGCATGATTCGATGAGATTCTACCAGTTTGGAATGCTGCCCCACATCTTCCCATTCAAGCCAAGGGCGACTCAAGGGCCCCGGCGGCGTACGCAACCAATACTGCTCTGCCCCGTGCCCAGTTCCTAGCTGCTCTCCTCGTCCCCACTGCAGCGCCTCTCCCCTTGTCCAGAGCTCGTTTCGGTGTTGGGCGAACCTGCCCGTTGAACGCTCGCCCAGTCTCTGTACCACCCGTCTGCATCACCATCCCAACCCCATTCCTGCTTCTAATCCTTCTTATCTCCCACCTCCCTCCACTACAGACAAAGACAATTGCAATGTAATTTGGATCAAGTCACGTTCATAGCTCTCCACCTTAATTGCACTTTGTCCATCGTCACTCTCTCCTTTCCTGCCTCCTTCTCCAACCTACCGCCCCCATCTAATCTGTTCCGACCATCATCGCTCCTTCATTCCTGGCGTTACCGGGCGAACCCAAGTCCTCTCACCCAAAGTCCTCAAACATCCGCCCCTTCAACCATTTTTCCAGCACTATTCTCATCCTCAAACGTCCAGCCATCTCAATTGTATCGAAAGCAGCTGGACAAGCGGCGGGAAGCTTACTGTTCCTGAGTCCTGACAGCTTGGTTGAGTCATTGTTATGATTCAGTAGCTCATCAACATTATTCGGCTGCTCTCATTGCTACTCGACTGTTGGAATCACTGGTACTTGTCGAGCTCACAAAGACGCCTTGGTACGCACCAACGGGTTGCCACTTCATTGCTGGCCGACTTCGTCTGCCTGCTTTGTCTTGTGACCCGACCCGCCTACGCCTGCCAAAATACTCGTCATCCTCCTCCGCCTTTCACGAACCGGACACGTATACAAACTTCACTTCTCTCTTTCTACCACGCCATTCAAAGCCGACTGCCATCTTCGTCCAGCTCCCCAACATTCGTTCCACTCTACTATTTCCTTTTCGAGCTGTCTAGCAATGACGTTATAACTGCCACTCCTTTGCATACGCTGTTCACACAGCATTACGACTTGCTGTTTCACCCTGCCAGACTTAAAGAATTTCATATGTTCCTAGATAAACGACCGGCTGCCTCTATGAGCATCTGAACCTACGACCAGGAGTTTCTGCGTTTCTTCTCTTGGTGTTGAACGGTTTTTGGGGCATCGGCGGTTCTATGCTTGGTGTCACTGAACGAGGTACTTTGATATTTTGTTGAGCAAACCTCGGCGATCCTCATCTTCGTGTCCATACTTGTACCACGGCTTTGCACACGAGTATACTGCTTTCTGAGCGCTTCCTCATTCAAAAGTTCCTCTTCGGCGCAGAATCGTTCTAAGCTACTCGCATATCGCCATTTCGATCTCGAAAGCCTACCCTATCACTCAAGAGCACCCTCATCCCGCAATGGAATGCATGAAAGACTCCTTTGTCAAAGGACAACTCCTTGACGGCCGTTTTCGAACAGTAGCGCCCCTCAACCATGGCTCCTTCGGCATGGTCTTCCTGGGTGAGGATCTGAAGACTGGGAGAGAAGTTGCCATCAAATGCTCGTCCAAGCAGATGAACGCTGATGGGGCTGTTCCTCAATCACCCGACGACGAGGAACTGTATTGCCATCAAGTACTCAGGCACGATCACCTGGTCAATCTCCTGCACCACTTCGAGACTGGAGCACACACCTATCTCGTCTTAGAGTATTGCTCGCAAGGTGATCTCTACGAAGCTATCCGCTTAGGCCGTGGACCATTGGAGACGGAGCACGTCCGTGATTTCATGCTACAACTTGTTAGCGCGGTTGAGTACATGCATTCCCAAGGACTCTATCACCGTGACATTAAACCGGAGAACATTTTTCTGACCCAGGACGGTTGCATGAAACTCGGCGATTTTGGCTTAGCAACAAGAGCGACCTGGTCGTATGAATATTGTGTCGGTAGCGATCGATATATGGCTCCTGAGCAATATGATCCGGCCGGCACGGGGTACTCCCCTTGCAAAGCTGACATCTGGTCAATCGGGATCTGCTTGCTGAATATCTTGTTCTCACGGAACCCTTTTATCACCCCCACGGAGTCAGACCTCCTTTTCGCCGATTTCCGACGTGATCGCCAATCTCTTTTCGACGTTTTCCCCAACATGTCGCAAGATACCTTTGAAATTCTAACGCATGCTCTGGCCATTGATCCGGAGAAACGAAGCCTATCTGCCGTACGCGATGCCATTGTGAGAACCGTCTCCTTCACTACGGATGACGAAAGCCTGGACGATTTTTGTACCGAAGAACGAGACTTTGTCCGGGCAAGCGCGAATCGCGAGCCTTTGCGCACCCCTTCTATCCAAAGTCCTGTACTCAATCAAGCCGACTCTTTCCCCTGGGCAAAGGTTCTGCGTTCCAGCCCGCCACCAAAGGCTCGCCAGCTCTCAGCCATACCAGATACGGAAAGCTATGAAGAAGATCTCTTTCCCGGTTCCGAAAAGGGTCTAACCTCGTCCTGGTTTACCGGTTACCACAACACGCCATCCATGGCTTCAGTTCTGGACTCTGGCCTTGGTGCGTCTGTCAAGTCTACGGCGATTCGCAGACCAGAAAAACGCTACCCTCCCAAGTCTGATCCTGTGCAGATAACTGGTTCACTTCCTGCCCGTGCCCCAGCAAAGTTGATTCCCTCAATGTCAACGGTCTTTGGCAAAAAGGACGACGGCGTTTCAAAGAGCTGGAGTGACCTGTGGGATGAAGAGGCTGAGGAGTCTGAACAGGAAGATTTGGCAATGAGACAACGTCGAGAACAGAACTCTCGTAGCTTTAGCCATGACAGCGAGGATGATGATGTGACTATACGCCTTGGCGAGCATCCCGCACGACCTGTCGTTCTCGGCGAGAAAAGCCATTCTGCGAACAATATTCGGTTGTCCGACTTCAAATCTGCTGTACCCATTGGACACTCGAGCCATACGGACGAGAATGGATCTTTTGTTGCTGCGGATTCAAGACCTTTGAAGCATGCACCTGGAAAGCATACTTCAGCTGACAAATGGGCCGTTTTAGGCAACAAGCGGCGTAATTATCAACCTGCGAAAGATAGCTTGCCAGCAGCACCAAAGAAGCGGTCAATGACCATGAGCCGACGCAAGGATTGGGGGTTGGGTTCTTCTGGTTACGATTATGGGGTTCCACACAAGCGTGGCAGTCGCGGTCCTCAGCACGCACGGCCTGTTTGGTTGGACCAGGACTGGCGTCGTGATCAACATCCTTTGTCTCAGCACAGACCCGTCTACGATAGTGCTGATGACGATCTTGAGTGGGTTGGGGGGTGGCATGCCTTCCACTTGTAGTTCTTTGGGTGAATACTCTGTGTTTCTCTACCCTCGTTTTGTCTACTCTGGTGCCTTGACGCCGATAACCATTCTTAATACTTTTAAGGTGTCAAGGGCTGTACAACATTTTCACAGGCATTGCGTGGTAAGGTTGGTGGCACTCTAGAGAAGGCAGCAGTGGGCGCTTTGAGAACTCGCATTCCCATTGCTTCAAAACAGTTGAGATCCTGGCATGGTAATGTCAGGATTCATTTAGCTAGTCTGAAACAATGGATGTTACCTGCTCACAAAGAATTCTCCCCTTTTTGCATCGGCCAGTGGGCATTCTTAAATTGACCTTGTCCGTGTAGGTTGTGGACTATCCCCCTAGCATCCGTATTGACAAAAGTTTATTGATGGCCAGCGAGATTCGAGCTTCTGACGGGCTCCTGTTAAATGCAATTGGGGTTGCCCCAATATAGGTGCAGCTCAGTGCAAGCCAGCTCTCAATACTCCGTAATAGCTCATGAACCATGGTTCCAGCTGCAGCTATCTCAACTCTTTTCATTTCCTCTTCCTGATGATTCATTTCTAGCTCTATCTTCTGCTCAGTACCCAGGGCTCACCCCCAAGATATTGTGATCGTGGGAACTGGCCTTGCTGATACAGTCTCGAGTTGCCTGCTGAAGACATTCTTCAACGATTTGCTGTCCGGTTAGATGTGTATCCTCACAGATCTCGAATGGCGATTTGATTAGAACGGCTTGCCAAAAGCGGTAATCTGGTTTGGCATCTGGTTCTCAGCTTTCACATCGCGCGCATTTGGACAAATCCGGGTCTTTAGAAGAAAAAAAATGGACGGAATATGCGGTCTACAAAAGTACTTTACAAGAGACCACTGACTTTCGAGGCAACGTCAGTCATTCAATTGCTATACAGGGTCGGTATTCGCGTCTTGAAAGCTTCCCTAGGGGTTCTGGTATGAAATATTTCTGTTTCCTCAACTCCCAACGACAAGGCACGTTGAGCTAGGTAGAGGTCATGATGCGATACACATATGCATAGAAGGCCGACCTTAGACGTGGGAAATCGAATCCGGCTCTCCGGTATGGGCAGAGCTAGTCTGAATGTAAAGCTCGCTACTGATATTGTTCGGCTATGGACGACTCTAAGTGCCAATCTATCTCGCAGAGCTCTTCCCCCAATCCAGGATCATGGCATTTTCCCACTGGTGCACGCAGGAAGTATTCATCGGGGTCGATGCGAAGATTAAAGAGTCATAAAGTCGGTTGTAGTAATGGGGAATGCTGTGAACTATAAATTCGACGGAGTCGGTTCAATCGAACTTTTCCAGCACATGAAAAGCCACAAGCTTCTCATGGCGAAAGCCGGGAGGGCGCCGAAACATCATGGCAAGCTCTATGTCCACATCTTCTAGCACGCTGCATCGCCCCAGGATATCAACGATGGCTGGATGAACACATATTTCTTCACTGTAGGGGCCATGTCGTCAGTCGATCTATTTGTACTTCTTTCCAGACGATACCATGCTGACTAGGTAATGATGGGTCAGTGGGAAGTATTGTGCGCGCACGTGTGAAGGTTGAGTGAAGCAGATGAACGCGAGTAAGAATAATATGTTCCCCCATCTTGAGGAGACAATCGGTAGAGGACACTGCGACGTGATTCTTATCACTGCTAGATCTTCTACATGGCATGCGCTGAGCTATTGCTTGAGAAGAAGGGGACTGTTGGGGCGTGTGCCATTATCTGTTCATAAAGAAATAAGAGGTAATGAATCAACTACTGGACGATTGTTGTCAGCATAGATAGTACAAATACAATTGCCCACGCCATCAATTCTCCCTAGGGCTGTATCTGAAGAAGTTGTAGTTCTTTGATTCATTCCTGGCCCAGTGCCATGTCGGTATGTACATCCAGCAGGATTGCAACACTTCAGCCTGCGTCCTCAACCGATAGCACCCCTCCGTTCAATGATCCCACGGGTGCTTCCATCCGAAGAGAGCAGGCCCGTCTTTCTTCGCTCGGTACATTAGCTGTCGAAGTATCAGTTACTCGTCAGACGGTCTCGGGAGTGTTCGTGACTGACAAAGAACCACATGCTGGCGCCTAATGCTGTGGCAGCGAAGCGATAGAGAGGTCGAGCGGGCTTGATGTGGGTGACTGGATGGTTGGGATACTGCGGTCCTGCCATTGCGAAGCTGTCGGAAGATCAAATATCTTAGTTACAAGGTGGAGCTTTATATTTTCAGGGGCAGAGCTTACTCTGTGGGGTAGGGTAAGAGGGTGGCGGTGGAAGTGGTGACAATCACTGGGTGATGTGGAAGATCTTACTTATCGCGGGCAATCTGAGTTGATGGGTTGTAACCTTGAATTCTACGCTCTTCGCGCATAAAATCGCGCGTTGAATACACAACACAATCAGATTTCTGGAAGTCCAGGCATATCTATCTGCTGGGGCGTTTTTATCAGTTTCTTGAATATGCTGAAGGTCTCGCACATTCAATCCTTCACTTGACCACGCAGTCCAAGTGCAGTCGCTGACAAATTCGCGATCGGACCGTTCACTTTACACCATTCTCCCGCCTTGAATCTCCTTTCAGTACAAACAGTGCTCATTACTTAGCCCTCAAATGATATCTCGATGAAACTTAGAATCGCATATTTTCTTTCTCAGGCTCCCGCGGCTTGATCGACCAAGCAAGCTTTCCTTACACGACATCCATCTGAAGACTTCCTTACCAAAGTTTCACTTTCTCACCAACAGCACGATTGACCCATCGCAGCTCCTCTTCATGACCTTATCGAGGAGTGGTGATGGCACAGGCGGGAGGAATACCGTCAAAGGTGCCTCTTGAGCGCACTGACGATGGCAGATTGAGGTTCCGTGGTTGCTCGCGAATACAGGATTACGACTTCCTGGGCAAATTGGGGGAGGGAACATTCGGAGAGGTCTCGAAAGCACGGTCAAAGAGAACAGGAGCAGTTGTTGCGTTGAAGAAGATATTGATGCACAACGAGAAGGATGGATTTCCCATCACAGCTTTACGAGAGATCAAACTCCTCAAACAGCTCGACCATGTCAACATACTCAAACTAGAGGAGATGGCGGTGGAGAGGAGCAAAGACCCGAAGAAGAAGCCGAGCATGTTTATGGTGACACCCTACATGGACCACGACCTGTCAGGACTTCTCGAGAATCCTTCAGTGCACTTTACAGAGCCACAGATCAAATGCTACATGATACAGCTTTTGGAAGGATGCAAATACCTCCACGAGAACAAGATCCTTCACCGAGATATGAAAGCAGCCAATCTGCTGATCAATAACAACGGCATACTTCAAATTGCTGACTTTGGATTGGCTCGACCGTATGACGATGAGCCACCTAAGGAAGGGCATGGTGGAGGCGAAGCCACCCGAGACTATACATGTCTTGTTGTCACTCGTTGGTACCGTCCACCAGAACTTCTGCTCCAACTCCGTCGTTACACTACCGCCATTGACATGTGGGGCGTCGGTTGCGTGTTCGGGGAGATGTTTAAAGGACGGCCAATACTTGCCGGCAACAGTGATCTCAACCAGGCGCAGCAAATCTTTGAGCTAGTCGGCTCACCTAACGATGACAATATGCCTGGTTGGTCAGAGCTGCCTGGATGTGAGGGAGTCAAGGAGTTCGAGTTCAGACGAGGCAATCTTCCGACTGTTTTCCGTGAACAAGGATCTCTAGCAATCTCATTGCTCAGCGAGCTGCTCAAGCTAGATTGGAGAAAAAGAGTGAACGCTATTGATGCATTGAAGCATCCTTATTTCCACTCACCACCGTTCCCTGCCCGACCCGGTGATCTTCCGCAATTTGAAGACTCCCACGAGCTCGACCGGCGAAAGTTCCGAGGCCAGAAGCAGGCTTTACCACCGGCGCCGGCTGGTGGTTCTGTCGGTATGGGTCCTAATGGTCAGTGGGCCGAAAATGGCAGACCTCCGCCTAACATTCAAAGAGGTCGTGGGCACCAGCCTTACCAAAATGGGCAAGGACATCATCATCGACCTCCTCCACCCTACTCTCGTCCGTACCAGCCAGGCCCTGATATTGATACTTATAGGCGGCCAACTTTGCATCCAGACCCAAGTCTGCCACTGCCTCCGAAGCCACCTCCTGCTCTAGATCAGAGTGGTGCTTTCCGAAACAACAATCGTGTGCTGGTTGATCCACAATACAATGGTGGGTATCGAAACGACACCAGAGGCCCCGGCATCATGGATCAAAGACGGGATCGAAGCGGAGGCGGAGCAGCATATGGTGGCGATAGAAGACGAGTACCTGAAGTTGCCAAAGTTGACACATACATTCCCAACTACTCGAACGTACCCGAGCGTGCAGCTCCACGCAGAGATGAGCCGCCGCCTTCGAGAGACGGATATCCGCCGCGGGAATCTCTGCCCTTTGCGAGAGACAGCATCCCACCTTCGCGTGAAGCATATATTCCATCACGAGAGCACCACCTTCTACCACCAAGAGACCCGACGTATCCTCTACGGGACGATCTCCCTCCGCCGCGACGAGAAGACGACCACAGACGAGATGGCCTGCCCTACGAGCGAGGCAGGTATGAGGACGGGAGAAAAGATGCTGGAGGCTATGATCGCCGAAGAAGCAGAAGCCCTAGGGGTAGAGACTGGGATCGACCGCCGATGCGAGAGAGGGATTCGGGTGATAGATATCGTAGATGATGTTCAGGATAATTGTCGGCTTCTTGTGTCCGTCTGGCCTTGATCTGCTCTTTTAGCGAGGCGTCCGGGATTGGTCTTCAAGGCTTCAATGACCGCTCTAATCAAATAAGATCGCTAAAGAGGTCATCAATTGCATTACCTTTCTTACACTTCTTCCTTGGTCTGGCGTGTGACTTGACGCTTTGGACCTCTTGCTCTGCCGTCGTCCCCTGTACCATGTTGACCTTTAGTAGCCACCTATTTACCTCGCTGTCACGAGGTCGGTCTGCTCTGCTATTTGAAATCAGCTCCTTGACCTCCTTGCCAGTCTGTCTGAACCCGTCAGTGGCCCTCAATTCCTCTCCGATGCTTCTCCTCTCTACAAGATTTCCCATATCTTCCACACACTCTCTTGGCACAAGCTCACCAGCGTCTTGTCCCGTCTGTCGGACACTAGAAGCGAGCAGCGACTTCAATTTGATTTCCATGCCAAGTGCTTGCTGCTCGGTTTTAGGCAGTCCAAGAATTTTTCCCACCCTAGCAAGCACTGCAGTGAGCACCACTCCAAGCGTGGAGAACTGAGTATCTGCCACCAGTGTGCTAAAAGCCCTGACTCACAGAGGAGGAGATCAGCACCAGAGCGAAGAGCTGCCCTTGCCGGCCCCATGCAAGAAGCTAGGCCGGTCAAGAACTTCAAAATGGGAAAAGATGGCCAGGGTTCGATCCACTTACAGCCATGCCCCCGGTATCATAACCTCCCTCACCCATCGCTCCAGATGCTCCTTCTCTTTCTCCTCCTCCCTCCTTATCCACCCTCTGCCCTCAAAAGCCAACAACTTCTTGATCGATCGCCGCAGCAGCCCAACCCATTTCCACCATTTCTGCAAACGATGCTGATTCTTGTTGCGAACATAGATTAGATGTAACTGGTGATTGACCTCACGAAGCTCACTGTTACGGGGCGTGGAATCTGACTCAGGGAGTCTTCTTGTATCGAGCATGCTTCTTGAAATTTTCCTGTGCTTATGCGGTGGCATCATTGTGGCGCCGAGACAAGGATGTAGTTGAGACAAAAGTCTTCGTCCTCGATTTAATCACCAAAAGCGCCAAGGAATGGGGAAGAGGTTGCAATGATACATAACAGCTGTTGAAGCATTCAATGTTCACAAACACAGAAAAGTCCAGTGGTGTGATCGTATATTTCCCGGATGTTAATGACTTGATAGAGATCAGTCCTTAATAGACTGCTTGAACGGTTTATCGAGCCAGGGGCGGTCTGCAACATGGTAAGCACTCTGACCAAGTGCTGCTGGTAGTAGAGTAGATTCAGCGAGCATATCAATAGAGACTACTGCCAGCTTGTCATTCTATGGTTACGATGTGACTTCTTCCCTTCTAAGATCTTTGAGGGCTAAGGATGAAGGCTGAGGATGACGTAGAGCGGAAACGCGTTGATTTCACTTTTCTCTACTCTGTACGCGTAACTTACTAAGATTTGGCCTACACGAATGATTCCTTCAACAAGGCGAGCCTGACATTATGTTAGAATAAATTCACGGTTTTTTATTTTCTTATTTTCTGCCTGGCCGTGGAGTGTTGCAATGTCGTACTACAGCCAAAAGCGAACGCGCTCAATAACCACAAGATCTCACGAACCAATCTACTTTTCCCAGCAGCGAAACGTCCACGAACCGGTGATTCGATGTCTCAGCATATCTGTCTGGTCTATCCTGCATAAATCACTCCCAACTGAGATCCCTCAGCTCGTCTTTTCCGCCTCCCTCAATGGCAATCTCCTTAGAGCAGCTCCCAAGATTACTGCAAAGCTCTCCGGAAGCAGGAATATTTGCAGGACGGCATTCTTTGTAGCATTTTTATCATCCGCATATCCTTGAGCTTCGAGACGCTTCAAGTTTGACTACCTCTTCCCTGACCTAGAAATTCCCATCTCAGGTTGGCAGGTACGATCATGTCAGAAGATTGTCCTAGAGAGTAACTAGCTGGTGCACGTTTGAGTGGTTCAAAAGCATTACGATCCCAGCTCTTGCAGAGCTCGTAACAAGAAAACGATCATTTCCGTCTATCTGTCAATGAAATAGTATGGGAGATACCTTCCATCAAACGCTTGCGTCCCAAAAATTCCACTATCTGGGAATGTCTTGAGGCTCCAATGCTGGATGCAATTTCAAAATGCCAACTTGATCTTCTTCAAGAGCTCCTTGAAATCAACTACTTCTTTTGGCCAGAGGATGCTCCATTCAAGCTTTCCCCTCGAGTTTTTGTTGCTGCCGCACGATCAGACGATATGCAGGCTCTTTACCTTCTCTTTCAGATTGATCCCACGTCCTTGCCATGGAGTGAGAAAAATCTTCAGTCAGTAGCAAGAGATCCCCAAGAACATGGCGATAATTTAGAAGAGCACTGTTCTCAGATGCAGCAGCAAAGCCGCCATCTGAAAGCGCGTGGCAAGATTTACAGTGAGTAAGAGCTCAGACGTGCCGCAAAGAGCGTCTCCTTTGGGAAATACATGCAAGATTAGGACAATGCCATTACGCATTATTTCCGGACAGGATGTCTCATGATGAACAGCAATCGGTTATCGCCTAGTACTTCGTACGCACTCGGAGGACGCGCGTTCACGATATTTATGAATATAAACTCTTTGGATCCGAGAACGACGGCGGATTATCAGTAGATGAACCCGAGCATATCTGCGAAATGGCAGCTAGCGTGAAAGCAGACGACTCTGACCGCAGCGATGGAGCATGGTGGGACGAGTCTGATATCAATTCCTGGTCAGATGGAGATGGTTTGGATATACTGGACGATGAAGAGGCATTCTTTGATGACGAACAACCACACCACAGAGGCTACCAAGTGGGGTTGACTGGGCTTCTATCCTGATAATGAGGGGAGATGAATGGCTCGTCCGCGCTCAACGGAAAGAGGACTATCCCTCTATGATGCCTTGATACTGTGCATGCGAAAGCTCGGCAGGATTTTGAGAACTACTGTTGCTCACAACGTAGCCGGCCGATTGCTGATTTTGAAGATGGATATGACCAGTAACTTGTAATAGTAGAAGCTTAGATTAATGAAGTGACCTCGCTATATTGACAGATTTGCTTTCTCCTTACACAGCGATAATTCGTTTGAGACCGCCAACACTAGAGAACGTCAACATTAACAAATCCATGCCTGCATCGTACTATACATTTCATCTGATGCAATTTGGTACTTGCGGATGCGGTATCCAATTGACGCTGAGCAGCAGCAATTCTTAAACCATCGCAACACTTTCACAACGCACAGGACCTACCTTCAATTTCTATCGAAGAATAAGTACTAGAATTGAAGCAGCTAAGGAAGGACGCGCGAAAAGCTCTGAGTGTGCTTGAGGAGAAGTTAGACGTACTTGTAACTCCACATTAACCAACCGCCGAAGCGATGAAAGGCATTTATAGAATACTTCAAAGTTGTCATATGCAGGTGGTGACCCTGAACGGCTCCATCATGCAGTCTGCCTTCTAGCCCACGCGGTGCGGTGCGCAGATCTGCACAGCAACCCCACAAACCAAGCGCCCGCGGTGGTTGGAGAGGACTACTAATCCCTAAATGCCTGCGGTGCACTTGATTGGCTTCAGAGAACTTTCCAAACGTGTACAGTTTCAGTGAGACAATCCTTAATGGCTTCTACTGCGCTGCAACAGTCAAATGCTGCTCGCTTCCCAGCTGGAGTGGGGGCTTCTGGGCTGACGCAGCCTTGAACTACTTAATCGCAATCTTGCGACTCCTTCCCTCTGTTCCAAGTCTTTGAACCATGTCACTGGTGCCTCCACACCCCGCTGCTTATGGGCCTCCACCGCCTCGCGCTTCTGCTGCTCCCTTCGTACCTCCTCCCCCTCCGGGATATGGGCAAAGCGGCTCGCCATATGTGGCCTCATCGTCGGTAGGCCCGCGGAAACGACTGATCGCAACATGCGACGGTACATTTCGATGGTCTCGGTTTGCAATTCAAGGAGCTGACATAGGTCTCTGCTACAGGAACATGGCTCGATGCGGACAGTGGCCTCAGGAATGGTCACCGACAACCTCCTTCGAACGTGTCGCACTTTGGCTGGGCTGTAAAGGACACATCTTCTGACGGCATACCACAAGTGGTCCATTACCAAGCTGGAGTCGGCACATCGGGTGGCATACTCAGTCGAGTCGTAGGAGGGACAACAGGAGAAGGGCTGGAGGAAAATGTACGCGAAACGTATTCCTTCCTGGCAATCAACTACCGCGAGGGTGACGAGATTTTCCTCCTGGGCTTCAGTAGAGGGGCGTGGACGGCGAGAAGTGTTGCTGGAATGATTGGTGCGCTTGGTCTGCTGACCAGGCAGGGTCTGCCCATGTTTCCAGAAATATACATGGATTTCGAGCGCAGATCAGACCTCAAATACATACCTCGCTGGCCGGATGTACCATTCCCAGACAAGCCATCCTTCGACGACCCCGCATATGTCGCAGAGCTTCAGCGTAGAGGGTTGACGAGGACGAATATTCCAATCAAGGCCGTTGGAGTGTGGGACACTGTGGGTAAGTAATTTGTTCTTATTTCTGCGTGCATAACCAACAAAGTCCCATCATCTTGAGCGCTGACCACCTCTTAAGGAAGTTTGGGCATTCCGGTCCCCCTCCCTGGTATTTTCGGAAGACTGGGAAATGGAAGACTGTCGAAAGAGTACAGCTTTTACGACACATCACTGCAGGAGTGTATCGAAAATGCATTTCAAGCTCTTGCGCTTGACGAGGAGCGAGCCCCTTTCGCGCCAGCGCTGTGGGAGAAACCGAGAAGATCCACGACAAATCTCAAGCAAGTTTGGTTCCCTGGCGTGCATTCAAATGTGGGAGGTGGGTACGATGATGCAGATCTTGCAAACATTACACTCGCGTGGATGATGTCGAGGATGGAACCATTCATTGACTTCCGGCCAGACTACATGATGCAGCTTTACCAAAAGAACAAACAGCACTACCGGGCTAGTGGACAGAGGTCGAGACAATGGTCGTTTGGTGAGATTCCTGACAGCATGATGGGCATTTACGCTCTTGCTGGGAAGCGGACAAGGACGCCTGGCAATTACTTTCGAACCGACCCACACAACGGCAGAACGACATCGAAACGGCTGAAGAACACGAACGAGTATATACATGCCTCGGTGAGATCACGAGTAGGATTAGGCGGCCCTGGCGTGCAGGATAGGGGAAGATACGATTGTAAAGCCTTGAAAGACTGGAGTTTCGAGCTTGACCCTCAGAGCGCTGACGCTAAAGAGCCCATGGTTGTGTGGAAGAACATGTCAGGCCGGAAGGAGGGCCAGATGGTTATTCCAGAAGCTGCGTTGCTTGAGACCGAAAGACGACTGCTAGAAATGAGTTCTAAGGTCGAGGATTACGTTTTGGATATGAGAGAACCACGAAAGTCACGAAGCAGACGATGAAGGCCAAACCAAGGAGTCTCGTGACGTAGTTATGTCTTTCTTGCATGATACCCCTGGAGAGTGTTTTGGTGTTTAGGGTGACTGGGCTTGGAAAATATCAGTGATATGGGAACGGTATATAACATTTCACATCATCTCTCACATCATCTTTCACGGGCTAGACCGCTCGGACCATGTAGCTGCAGACCATTGCTACCTGCAGATATACAGTAGGGCAGCACGGTGACAATCTTGGAGTCTTAGGCACTCGGTCTTCGTCTTGGATATGGCTGTAAAGAGCAGTGTGGGCCCTCCGGCCCCAAAATTCAATCCTATTTACCGGGCAGAGCCTTGGCATTAAAAGGGGCAAATGTCGTTATATGTAGAACTTCCGCAACATGCTCATCAAGCTTGAAGGCAGAAAGATCGCGGGTCCGGCTTACGTATAACTCTTCCTTCAAGAATCTCCACTGGTTCGATAGCAAGGATGGAGTGGGCTTCGGTGGGTTTGCCCTGACTTAATTATCAATAATAGCTAGATTAGTGACACGTTTGATATCCCAGGGGAATCTCAATCATCTTTGAAAGGCGCTGATATGACAGAGGACGACGCACCACTGTCGGACATCACCGCTCTCACGGACCGCATTGACTTCCTCGATTCGTCCCGAAGTCTGCAGAAGCAATGAGTGACAGACCTATGCCGCCTGCGCAGCGGCTGCCCCTCGATACGTCCTGGCCTGATGAAGACGTCTTCGTCCAGTCTCTGCTGTCCTTCGCCACAGAATGTGAGCTCTTCCGCAACCTTTGCGGTGGGGTACATATCCTCGATTTCTTGACACGTGAGCCAGAGCTCTACGCGACTGTTCTGCCTCAAGAGTGGCGTAACTGGTTTGACCAAGTGGATGTTCATGATGTTCTGCAGCTTCTCCTCCGCGAGGATCTTGACCCACTATTGTCATCTCAACAACCCGTATCCTGGCGCGAGGGCCCTGATCCACCCGGGAGTCTCATAAGATACGCCATTACTATCAGAAAGCACTGCTTGTTGCGTGATTACAATTCGCCTACGTTAGGTTCGGATTCAGGCGTCATGCCGCGCCGACTGGTAGCAGGAATGAAACCAAAGAAACTCCATGAAGTGCAGCATTTTTCCACCTACATCGACAGACTCTCATGCTTTGTAGCCGAGGAGACAGGAGAACCAGTCTCGGGGTTTGTAGATTTCGGCTCGGGTCAGAACTATCTTGGTAGAACTTTGGCCAGCCCGCCCTACAATCGCAATGTCGTTGCAATCGAACGAAAGCATCATAATGTTGCCGGTGCCAGAAGAAAAGATGTGTATGCTAAACTGGCGAAAAAGGAAGGGATCATGCGAAATAAAAAGGAATACAAGCGGCAGCTCATGGAGGGCGGCAGTATCGATGAATGTGTCTCGGTTGCAAGCGATGCACAAAGTCCAGGTGGCGGCACTGGCAATCACACCGTATATGAAAAGAGCGATGTCGGCTTGAGTGGCTCCATCACATATATTGAACATGAGATAGAGAACGGCCAGATAGAAGAAATCATCTATCCACCTGCTTGCATTCCGACAATGTCATGCGCATCATCCTCCACTGCGCGAGATTACCTTGCTCCAAGTACACCCTCTGGTCTCGCTCAGCACGCCATGTCCCGCCCCAACTTGATGGTCATTTCACTCCATTCATGCGGTAACCTCTCCCACCACGGGCTGAGGACGCTAGAGCCTAGCCTCAATCCCTCCGTCTCCGCCGTTGCGTTGATCGGCTGCTGTTACAACCTCCTGACCGAACGTCTTGGACCCGCAACATACAAACACCCTCTCCTTCGTCCCCGCCATCCGAGACTGGAGTCCACAGGGTCCGCTTACGATCCACAAGGCTTCCCCATGAGCAGGAGGCTCGAAGAATTTTCCAATCCGGACGGAACTCACGGAGTGCGATTGAACATCACAGCCCGCATGATGGCCGTGCAGGCACCTTACAACTGGGGCAGAGAAGACAGCGAAGCTTTCTTCACCAGACATTTCTACCGAGCACTTTTGCAGCGGATGCTGATGGACGTGGGGATTGTGAAACAATCCTCCAGCACAACAAGCTCTCAAGATGTTGTCGGAGGCTCCATTTCCGGCCGTGACGAAGCCGGCACGCCTCTCATCATTGGATCTCTCAGAAGCTCCGCTTTCACCTCTTTCCGTGCCTATGTCCACGCAGCATTGGAGAAGCTATCTCGAGACCCCCTGATTGACAACCTGATTCAATCCAAAACCATCGGCTTCAACGACGACGAAATCGCATCCTACGAGATGCGATTCGCCTCGGCGAGAAAACAGCTGGCTGTCATGTGGAGCTTGATGGCCTTCTCGGCTGGAGTGGTGGAGAGCATCATCGTAGTCGATCGATGGTTATGGCTGAAGGAGCAGGTCGGCTGGATTGGAAAATGCTGGGTCGAGCCCGTCTTCGAATACAAGTACAGTCCGAGGAATCTCGTCGTGGTTGGAGTCAGGAAGCGGCGAGAGAAGCAGGAAACCGAGAAGGAGGAGCTCAATACCGGTAGCAGCGAGACCAAGGAGAAGAAAATAGGACTAAATTGATCACTTTAGACCTATCCACTCGTCTTCGCTTTCACCATCATCCATCTCCGAACGAGCAGTCCCGTTTGCTCCATCGATTCTAGCATCGCCATTTCCATTTGCACCATGACTGTTGACTATTGCCATGGCTTTGTTCGTTGAAGACGCCTCCCACTGACCCATCTCCTTCTGCCCTACCAAGAACTCGATCTCCCAGCTGTTTCTCTCCGCCAGTCTTCGCACCATCCTTCCTACTCCATCCACTCCTCTCAAGACACTCCGTAAATCAGCTCCGAATGCGTTCTGATTCTCCTTGATCCACCTCCCGTGCACGCACAATACCTCCTTCAACCATCGTAGATGGAATTCCAGATGCGGACTCTCATCCATCTGCTCTCCCAACAGCCGCAACATCCTTCCCACATACACCCGAGGTAGATCCCGCACGAGTAATGGCATGGTTTGATAAGGAATTGCTTCGTAGCATTCCTTGATCAGCGCTTTGTCATCCGAAAGACGAAACGCCATGACCAATGCTTTGAGATATTCCTTCCCGGCAAGAACAGTCCTCGTATTCTGTGGCGTGACATCAATGTCAAGCTCGAAAGGGTCGAAATCTGCTAACTGCGTGTCAAGGCTATATATCAGCAGCCCCTCGGACGAAGCAGCGCAGAAGCCTCGTCCAGTGGGACTGAACTCCAGGCTCGTGACACGGACTTTCGGTCTTTTAGCTTGCCTGCTCGCCGCATCACGATTGCCAGTCCGTCGTACTCCGGGCAGCGAACGGTCTATTCTATCCTCAAGGTCGGAGGCTTCGCCGTCCGTATCGATCATGTCCCTTGGCATGCCATTCGACAGGATGGCAGACGAATTAAGAAACTCCTGAGTCCCATCTAGAGACAGATTGACGGAAGCAGTGAACTTCTTGATCAGTGTCAATGTGCTGACGGCATAGAGGCATATGTACTTGGAATTTCCTGCCGCGAGGAGGCAGGAGCCGTCCGCAGAATATGTTATGGTGGTGAATTGCTTTGTTTCTGGAGAATTGGCAGCTGTGCGGCGAGACGTGAGCAAACGGCCGCCTGAGATGTCTCGACGAGCGTCGAGTACAGAGGACTGTGCTGAGGTGGAAAGGGTCCAGAATGTGAGTTGACCATCCAGAGTGGCCGCGGCAAGCTGTGACGAGTCCGGACGGATGGCGAGGCATAGCAGGTCAGAGGTTAGTTGCAATGGTTCCGAGGTTTGTGTCCGAGAGAAGATGGACCAGAGGCGAATAGTGCGGTCCCACGATCCCGATGCCAAAATACTGCCGTCAGGAGTAAAAGCCAGGGTTGCAATGGGACCTTCGTGGCCAGAGAGACGGTCGAGCAGTTGACCAGTTTGTACGTTCCAAAGATGGATGTCAAAGCTGTCATGTGAAGCCGCGCAGACGATTTCGGCGGAGGGATCAATTGCGAGATCGGTAAAAGAGAGGCGAGTTGGTGCTGTGAATGTTCGAAAGTTGCGGTAGCGAAGCATATCCCAAGCTCTGATAGAGCCATCGAGCGACGATGTGAAGAGGATACTACCTCGTTTCGAATATTGGGAAGACGTTATAGCGGAGGAATGCTCCGTAAATGTGGCAATATGGAATCCAGAGCGAACGTCCCAAATCTTGATAAGACCGTCATCAGAGCCGGTTATGATTCGGGTAGAGTCAGACGAGTAAGCAACGGTGGTCATGGTATCAAGATGAGAAGATTGTTTCAGGATGTGAGATTCGGAGGCATGCTCCCAGACCAGTAACTGGCCTGTCTTCGAAGACCCAAAGGCCAGCCAAGCACCATCTGGTGATGTTGCGATACATGATATCGGAGAAGAGGCTAACGAGAGTGTGTGGATGTTTGTGAAGGAAGGCAATTCGTACAGGGAGAACAAGCCAGTCGAGAAGCCAACTGTAAGGAGATTGCTTGAAGCATGGAATGAAGCACTTTTCAACCTTGCGTTGTTCTGCAAGAAATATTCTCTTTGGATTATTCTCCATCGTTCCTCGTGCAAATCCGGCATTTCGTTATCCACACCATTCTGCCGTAAGCTTGTTACATATTCCCATTTAAACAATGCACCATCCTGGCTGACAGTGTACACTGACTCTTGGTCAGAGGAGAACCATGCATTCTTCACACCTTCACGATGGCCAGACAAGACGGTGGGTTCGAAACCTTCTTCCGGATCCAAGCTCCAGATCCTAGCAGTCATGTCCTTCGAAGCACTCACAAAGAATCGCGAATCACCGGCCCATGACAGATTTTGTACATCATCAAAATGACCACCATATTCCCTGTGTAGCACAAACGGTGCAAATTCCAGCTCTGAGTTGCCATTTGTGTCTGGTGTAGATGGTGTACGCCATGCCTGGATCTTCCGACCAAGTCCGATGACAAAATGCTGCCCAGATGGGGAAAATGCGAGAGCGGTAACGGGCGACTTGAAGGAGAAGTGATAGACAGAGATTCTTCTAGGGACTATTGTAAGGATGGCACGACCATCCTCATCAATGGAGAGGAGGAGATTTCCCTGTGGATTTAGATCGATGCAGTTTATGTTCTTGCGATGGGCGAAAGGCAACGTATAGCTCGAATTCCTGCAAAATCAGCCTAATGTTGAGAGCCAGCCAAAACAACTCTGTACCGAGTCAAATTAAAGACCGAAACGCGATTTCCGACAGGAGACAATAGAGAATCACCATCTGGAGTGAAGAGTAGGTTGCCTTTTCTATAGACGGTACCAAGGAGATTTGAGAACTGTCGCGATCATCAGAGAAGTTCCAAGTGCTTTTTGACACAATCCCGTACCTTAAAATCGGTTTTCATCCTCGCTGTGATGTATTGCTTTTCTGAGCGCATTCATGACAGTTGATCGTGATCTTTTTCAGAAAGTTGGCGGCGGTCTGGGGCCGAAGATTGTCCGGGCTGAAGCTAGTTCAAATTAGATAACTAAGAAAGTTCTTGGCGTTTTGCTACTCAGGGGAATTTGTGGAAAGAACCCCTAAACAGCGCAGCTTCAAATCTCGATTATCACCATACACCTGGCTGACCTGTGTCTTACTTCGTGCTCTTGGTCCCATTTCGATAGCAGCAAAGTTGATTGTCGCTCGACCGTTCTTCACAACTGCAATAATGGCGCCTGCAACAGTGGAATCAGCATCGCCAATCGGCATAGCTAATGTAAGTTGCTCACTTGCAAACCGCTCATGAAGCTGACAGATCTTGGTTAGCTCCCTAACCAGAGGTATACGTTCTCTCCGGAGCATGATTTGGCTTTATCAGCCCCTAACGGTCCCGTAGACATAAGATCGTTGCGAAGCGAGGCGCAGCTTTCACAATTATGGTCAGCACCAAGTCGACGCCAGTCCTAAACGAAGCCCATCCTGACAGCTTCCTAGGTTGCTGGAGAATCAGGTCTTGGAAAGACCACCTTTATCAACACTCTCTTCTCAACAACTATCAAAAACTACGCCGATCACAAACGTCGCCATGCGAAGCAGGTTGACAAAACGGTTGAGATTGAGATCACAAAGGCTGAATTAGAGGAGAAATTTTTCAAAGGTATGCCGTCAAAGATTGTTGTCGCTAACCCGGTGCTCAAAAGCTGACCCCTCTAGTCCGCTTGACTGTGATCGACACTCCTGGCTTTGGCGATTATGTGAACAATCGTGATTCCTGGATGCCTGTCATCGAGTTCCTTGACGATCAACACGAGTCCTACATGTTGCAAGAGCAGCAACCTCGCCGAGTAGACAAGATTGATCTCCGAGTTCATGCCTGCCTCTATTTCATCCGCCCCACCGGCCACACCCTCAAACCTCTCGACATCGAAGTTATGAAGCGTCTGAGCTCACGCGTCAACCTGATCCCTGTCGTGGCCAAAGCAGACACTCTCTCACCCGCAGACCTGGCTCGGTTCAAGAATCGCATCCGAGATGTCATTGATGCGCAAGGAATCAAGATATACCAACCTCCCGTCGAAGAAGATGATGAAGCTGCTGCTTCACACGCCAAGTCTTTGATGGCTGCTATGCCCTTCTCGGTTATTGGCAGCGAGAAAGACGTCAAGACTGCGGATGGACGCATAGTGAAGGGCCGTCAATATTCCTGGGGCGTGGCTGAGGTGGAAAACGAAGATCATTGCGATTTCAAAAAGCTTCGCTCAATTCTTATTCGAACTCACATGCTTGACCTGATCCACACAACCGAAGAGATGCATTACGAAGCTTACCGTGCGCAACAGATGGAGACTCGGAAGTTTGGCGAAGCAAGACCCAGAAAGTTGGACAATCCAAAATTCAAGGAGGAGGAAGAAAACTTGCGCAAGAGGTTTACAGAACAAGTGAAAGTGGAGGAGCAGCGATTCAGAACCTGGGAGCAAAAGCTAATTGGAGAGAGGGATCGCTTGAACAAGGACCTGGAGAGCACTCATGCTGCGTATGTACTTGCTCGCTTTCGCAACTTTTTCGTGCTAACGCTTTGCACAGCATCAAAACGCTCGAACAGGAACTTGAACAGATGCAGGGCTCTGCTGTCCGTAGCCATGGTCGTCGATGATTGGAAGCCTAACCGATGGAACCGGGATGAGTGTCGAGAGATTATGCTGGTATTTCTCCTGGAAGGCGTGGATTGTGCACGGATTCGAAATTTTCGAATGCCATTATTTTTAGGATGTATAGCGAGCGCGCCGAGGGTAGATCTCTCCATTGCTTTGACCCTAGATTCGGGTCTACCTAATACTCAATTTTGCAAGCCCTTACTCTTTTTGTCTACAGTCTGTAGTAGCGATGCTCCAGAAGAAGGACCAACAAAATGTGGGTTACACGAGCAATCATTTCAATCACCATCAGACCACGACCACGACCCAAAGTCTGCTAGTAGTCAAGTCCAACCACACCACTATATATTTTTATGTGCTGCTGAAGTGGTGCAATAATCACTGTTAGCCAACGTAGGAAGGCCTAATACCACGCATAAGTGGTGCCGCTCCACGACTAAATTCTCATATACGAAGGCATGCTTTCTAACCAGCCAACAGAGATCCGGGAAAAAAGCAGCAGGAATAGAAAGGCTCCAACGCAACGAGAGCCCAGTGGGATATCCCGTAACATGGTAGCCTTGGGAGTCAAGCCAATGTGTTGGACACTTCACTGTAGGAACGTAATCGGTAATTGAGTGGATTGGTATCTGATTGACCAAGGACAGCGGGAACCACGCTCTGCTAGAAGGACACAAATAGGCAGAGATCTTCCATTCCGACTTTTTTAAGAAGTGATAGAATACCCGCGTAGGATCTTGTAATGCGTTGTAGGAGGAATTCGCCCACTGTGAACAAGCACGAGTCACATATCGAAAGGGTAGTAACAAACCGGGCCACCGACGACCAGTATGTAGATGGGAATAAATGGGAATGCGGCGTTCCTTGCTGAAAGCTAGAATGGATACGGAGATACCACGTCAATACTGTATACTCGTCGACCATTTCCATGGCTCAAAGTGTTTAGAGACCTCCAATAGCAACCAGGCTGCCGCCCTACTGCCTCGGAATTCCACTCAGAAACGCTTGCCGGCGGCTGGTTTTTGTGGTATCTTCTGCGAGAGGAACTGCTGGGAGGTGATATGTGTGACGCCGCGGAACGTATTGGGCCCACGTCGCTAACTATGAGCTATTATGCTTGATGAGATCTCACTTGGTAGCTGCCAATCCCCAATCTGATCACTGATAAAGCTCTTCGGATTGACTGCGTCAATCGAACTAGCCAGACTTGGTCAAACCCACGTTAGAAATACTGCAAGACAGCTCATTTCAACGATTCCAATGGTTGAACGGCCTGTTTAGGGTTATAAACATCGTTTAGAGGCAGGCCTTGGGCGAAGTTTGCCAGAACTCATGTTGCCTCTTCTGCTTCTTTCTCATGAGCCAGCCGGCTGGTTGAGTAAGAGTCAACTTTTCGTTGGCCAGCAACAAGAGGCTCATAAACCGGCAACAAGATATAGAAAGACTTGATGGAGTAAGACGTGATAATACGTCAGCCTACGATAGAGGCTGGAAACGGGACTGTTTAGGGTTGCTTTCGCAATGTCCAGGATAACGGGGAAGACCATTGAAATCAGCTGTCAGGCGTAGCTGGAAGCCCTGGTACTATAGAAGGCCTGAATAATGGGAATGACTGTACAGACCATCGCAAGAGTACGCGCCCCAATGTCTCATGGTCATTATTTCTGGGCCCCAGCCCAGTGTTCCGATACCATTCAAGGTAGATTGAGGCTCCTTGGTCGCGAGCATTATAGCTCAGGAAGTGTGAGCTTTGCAATGTTGAGAGCTGTGCAGGGCCATCGGCTACATGCGTATCAAGAACCAGCCAGAAGGATTGTTTTGAGAGAGAATAGTGATGTCCTGATATCATGAGCTTGGCTACGAGGGCCAGAATAGAGACGACATATAGCACAATCAATCACGAGGGGACGACCTCATCAGTACTGTCATTCTAACATAAGACGGCCAAGAGATGCATCTGTTGTTTCTCATCATCACAATGCCCTTGAGTTTCAATCCAAGTTGAAGCTTAAGTGCATGTAAAGAGATTTTGCTTGGCGTTAACATGCTCCACTTCAAAGGCCATCTACGCTGCAGTTTTAACGAATTACATCCTCACCAGAGCCACCATATGGCCAATTGCTCCTGCATTCTGACATTGGTGCGGAACGCTGAAAGGATGAGATGAGCTCTTTGAGCTGATCCAAACCCGCCGCGGCCATGCGCAACCATATCCAAGTCGTCTGATGCCTCCCACGCTTCCCTCCACTCTGCTTCACACGATATCCTCGCATAATGGCCCAGTGAATGCGCTTACATTCTCTTCTCTCGGTGGCACCTACATTTTATCTGGCTCTTCTGATCGCCAAATCCACCTCTCTCGCAGCGAGCCTACTTCTACCTCGACTCCTGTCAAAGCGCGTTCCACCACTGCGAGCACAGCACCGATTCAAAAGTATGTCGCGCACGGCTACCCCATCCTCGACATCTCTTGCTCGGCCGACAATCAGACCTTTGCGTCAGTAGGTGGGGACCGATCCGTCTTCCTTTGGGACGTCCAAGCTGCGTCTACGATTCGACGCCTTGGTGGGACGCAGCAGGGCCATACTAGTCGCATTAACACTGTTTCATTCGCTGGTGCTGAAGACTCGGTGCTGGTCAGCGGCAGTGATGATAGGACTGTTAGGGTCTGGGATTTGAAGAGCAGAAATGCCAATCCTATCATGGTCTTCGAAGAGGCTGGTGATTCTGTCTCTGCCATTGTGGTGAGGGGCGAGGAGATAATTGCCGGAAGTGTGGATGGGAGGGTCAGGAGTTACGATGTCAGGATGGGATTATGTACAGAGGATACTATGCCCGCTGCTGTCACTAGTGTTCAGATTACCGGAGATGGGCAAGCACTCCTTGTTGCGTGCCTCGACTCTAAAATCAGATTGATTGACCGGAAGGATGGCACAAGTTTGCGGGCTTTCTGCGGCAATGAATTCAAGAATGAAGAGTTGAGAATCAAGAGCTGCTTTGGAAAAGGCGAGGTGGTTGTGATGAGTGGTTCTGAAGGTTCTGGCACGGTTAACGTTTGGGATGTTATGACTGGACAGGTTGTGGGTACTATTGAAGCTGCAGAGAAGGTTATCAGCGTTGTCAGATGGCGTAAGAAAGGCAGAGGAGTCGAAGGCATATGGGCTAGTGGCGGAGCAGATGGTGTGGTACGGGTGTGGGGCGATTGATCACTGTAGGACTGCTTGTGATTGGTTCGATATACTTAATCCCATCACAACTTGGTATTATGCAGGCGGGCATACCTCCAAAGGACAATCATGAATCAATATGTTGGCGTATCTGACCTGGTTCATGGCAAATTCTGAGGTAGGAGATCCCGTCTTATGTTTGATCTATCGGAACGTGAGCTTGCAGGCAGCAAGTTTACAAGGCAGCGAATTGGTTCATGTCAAACGCGAATTCCACGTGTTACCCCTGCGGTTTGCCTGCAATTTTGCAGCCAATTTCGCTGTATGACACAGCAATTTGTACTTATATCTGCACTCGCTGCGCCCCTTATTTAGATTCTACAATTGGCTATCTTAATTCATTCCACATAGCCACGTTCAACAGTTGAAGATAGAGTAAGCATGAGCATAGAAAAAGTGGGAACATAAACTTTACAGATCTAGAAAGTCCAGTTTCGATGGATGGTATCAGCTTATGAACATGACACCCTAATCTAGGTCCGTTGACGTTCTTCCAAGTACCATTTCATGCACTCTTCCAAAAACGCTTCCTTCTGGGCTCCACTTTGGCCACTTTGTTCTCTTTGTGTGACCAGCATGCTGACTGGTTTTTTGGCTGCAAGGTCTAGCAGTTCGTCGGTGACACTACTGCGTAGGTCGCAATAGCCACCGCATTCATCGTCATCTTGATACTCATCATCCAAATTCAGGATCTTCCTATCCCAGACTCGTGATGGGTAGTCTTTCATCGTCAAGATATTCACATAGCCCCAGAGGAGGCATCGAATGAAATGCTTTGAGAAGACCATCTTCCTTCGAACAATTTCCCGCATGAATAATTGGTCTGGCCTCAACAAGAACGTACAAGGCTTCCCAGTATCATGCGTTGACCTCTCTCCCCAATACTCCATTCTCAGCTTGCCTATTTTCTCCTCAGATATACCAAACATTGGCAGGCCTTCCTCATCTGGAACCGATGCTGACTTTGTTGTAACGTACATCATCAGTAGTTCGGATTTTGTCAACAAATCTGTTCGCTTTAAGGCACGCCAAAGTGGTAAAAGACCTCGTTGTGTTAAAAGCATCCTTCTTAAACCATGATATCGATTGGTTGCCATAGGATCATGGAAGCGCATATCAAGCTTGACCACAAAGCACATAATGAAATAAAGATCAAGATCAGTCATCAGCTTGGTTGTGTGCAAATATCCAATCCTTCGTGCATTATCAGGGATATCCATCAAAAACCACATCTTCTTAAGGGCCAGCTCACATCGACTAGGTAAAGGAACGCCATCCTCAGCCATTAAGGCCATGATTTCATGACATACTTTCTCACGAAATAGTATCATCTTCAACCACCTAAAGCTAGGAACCTTCCGAATTTCGCCAGCGGCTTGCTTGGCGGGATGAGGATGTGGTATGCGTGGTGAGGGATCCAGGCGACAGAGATACTTGTAACATCGGGCAGGGAAGATTCGTAAGCTTTCAGGACACTTTCGTATTGCTTGACTACGAATGACAGTGGCAAAGCGGGTATCAATGATAGTGTGGAAGTCTTTGCTAATGGCGTACAGACTTACTAAGTCATTGACAGGCAAATTTGCTGCTAATGCAAAGCAAAGTTCTGGGTACAATAATATGCCACCAAAGACGTTAAAGCCTGGACTGTTCGTGCGCTTGTAGATGTAGGCTGGCGGAGGTAAAGCAGGCCAGCCCCGTTTACGCTTTCGACTAGCAATTGTGGCAGCATTCTCAACACGAAGTGGCGAAGTGTAATGATTGAGAGGATGAGCAGGTGGTGATCTTGGGAAGAGCCGGTCTTCAGGCCACTTATCATCAGCTGTAATCTTATAGACAGGAGTGTTGCCGCGGCGTTGGATCGTAGTAACCCAGTGACTCGATCTTTCGTATTCAGGGGGTTCGTGACGAGCTGCCTCTGAAGAAATGCTAGATTTAGAAGTACCTTCGGGCAGATTGGATGTTCGAAGAAGTGAGCGGCCCGTCTCCTTCGAAGAAAGAGCAGAAATGTCCTGAAAGCTCTTAACATCTTCTTTCTGCGGCGAAGGCGTGTAGAGAGGTTGTGGTCTGGGCGCTCCCTGGACAGACACCATTAGCATGTTACAGAGATTCTACAGGAATGATGTACCTGAGGGAGAGAGAGCATCTGCTGAGTGCCAGGGCGGGTAGCCAACTGATTACGTGGCGAATCAGCTTGAGGTGGAGGATTATGTGCTTCGCGTCCAGACGCTTGTAGATTTCGAGAGCCATGAAGGGGTAGGTCAAAAGCTCCCAATCCAGGTCCCGGCCGTGTGGATGGTGCGTGAAGATTACTCGGAGTTCTTGGATGAGGGCGAGCGTTATGGGCTGCATTGGTTGTGACAGGAAAGCTCGGAGGTGGAGTAGGATTGAAAGTTATGTTGTTATTATTGTTGAAGCTGAATTTTGAGCTTGGGACTCCGTTCTGATGTAAAGACGGCTGTGTTATGAAGCTTGCAGGCGGAGTCGGATTTTGGGTTTGTACCACAGGCGGCTGGCTATCTTGGAGAGAAAAGTTTCGCAAGGCATTTGTCGCAGCAAGGACCTGCGCTGGAGAACTGGGACCCGCTTGCATGGCGTCGTCTTCCGTAGCAGCGTCTCTTTGACTGAGGTCATTGTTCCCATCTGCTGAGCGCAGGCGCGATCTCTTCTGGCGATGCTGATCAAGATCCATCAGGTTCCGCTTACTTCGATTCGGGAATGAATGGTAGTTTCGTTGCGATCTTTTGTTGGTGTGTTGCAGGCTGATGTAGGTAGTAAGCTGATGAAATATAGGCTGCCGCGAAAACTCTGTTACAGCATCTCCACAATAGGAACACAACAATGGTGACGATGCTATTCAGAGCCTTCAATAAACAAACACATGGCCATGTCACGTGACAAAGCGGTCTTTGCATGTGTTGGATTTCAAGTTAGAGTGTTCTTGAGGCACATATCAATTTCTCAACCTCTCCAAGGCGGCCTTTATTGCTTTCAAAAGGCCAAGTCCACTGCTATTGCTCTCGTGCATGATTGCGACATCTAGAAGGTATGAGCACTCGGTGAGATCTCCCTTGTTCAACGACGATTCAGTAGGCTCAAAAACTCCTCTCGAGTTTTGGCACTGGATCGCATGGCACCGAGCATGCAGCTAGTGGTTGTTAATGCTGTGGTTTTCTCTACCCCCCTCATTACCATGCAGAGATGACTTGACTCCATGACCACTGCAACACCTCGTGGTTTCAAGACCTCGTCGATCGCAAGCGCTACTTGCTTCGTCAGACGTTCTTGAACCTGCAGTCGTCGTGAGAACATCTCCGCCAGGCGTGCAAACTTGGACAAGCCGAGGACTTGGCGATTCGGAATATATCCAATATGCATCTGCGCGTAGTTAGCATAGGCTGTATCGTAGCTTTTGCTGCCTACCTTGCCATTGAATGGAACCATGTGGTGCTCGCACAAGGAGAACACCTCAATGTCTCGGACAATTACGAGCTCGTCGTGATCTTCATGGAAGACAGCACCATTAACTAAATCTCGAACATTCTCCTCATACCCCTTTGTGAAATACATCAAGGCTTTCGCGTATCTCATAGGCGTCTCCTCAAGCCCGTCCCGGTCCGCATCCTCACCCACACATTTTAGTATTGTCTTTACCGCTCCTGCTAGTTTTTGCAACGTCTCCTGCGCCTGCTCCGGAGTTGCCTCAAGTCGTTCGCGCGTACCAACACCTAAAAGATCGGTCAGCTAGTTCTTCTGGAGAGAAAGCAGAGCATACTTGGCCAGCTCAAGCCATCATAATCAATAGGAGGTTGAAGAGTGTAGGGACTTGCAGGTCGACTTGATGTCGCTGGTGGTGTAATAGGTGCCTCGTCACGAGGATCTCGGGCAGGCAGACTCAGCAGCTGTTCGTTTCCATTCTCCACTCCCAGTGTCTCTTTCCTACGTTTGACCGAAAGGCCCTCTTTGGTTGAATCTGGACTGGCCGCAAGACGCCTGCCATAGGTCGATTTGATGGAAGAAGTCAGGTTTTCTCTCTCCCGCTTTCGAGAAGGTCGGCCTGATTGTGATGTACCGTTAACAAGGTACGAAGGGACTGCAGACTTCGGCTTTGGTGATAATGGCGATTCTGAAGCCATCACTAGAGCTACCAATGCAATCTCAACAATTTCCTGTTCTTGAAAATCCACAAAACCGTATCATGGAGGGCCAGGCGTAAGGATTTGAGCCATGAGAGATATCCGAGCTATGAGCCCGAAGGTTGCCCGAGGAAATCTCTCTGCCTGGAGGACAACAAACTTTTGGAGTGTGCCGTGGTCCGGTCGGGCCGCCGGTGGGATCAAGACTGAAATTGGAAGACGCTTATGTACTACGTATGTGAAAGCACTTGATTCTCGCACTTGAGTTTGTCATTAGACTCGGCCGGACATACTACGGGGGAGGTATAAGGATTCGTAGCACGGCGCTAGAAACTCATGTAAAAATTACTCCGTACAACGTCACGAAAATGGCCTTTACTATGATAAGGATAGAGTGCCCAGAAATAGTTGATTTGGGACTAGTTCGATTGCCTCATCGCCCACCAGTGATGGGGATACCACTACAAGATTGACAGGGCTGTCTGTATCCAGAGCGTTTGGAGGGGCAAATACTAGCGCCGTGTTGCGAATACTTATGCCTCCCCCCGTAGTACAGCCGGCAGTGTTGAACAGCTCTATCCCGAACTTGAAGACAACGTCCGTCAAAGCCGCTTAGCCCACGATTCACCTCATCTGGAGAGTGCCTTTGGATTGTGGAGCTTGTGCAGGTGCTGCTCTTGCTGCTACGACCCCTAATACGGTGGCCCTCCCGTGAGCACCCAGCACACTTGTCAAACACTTTTGATCATTGCATGCTATAAGCAGTATTCCCTACCAACTCTCAGTATCATGAAACCCTTACCATTGTCAATGTGACCTCTCATCTCCCAACCTCTAATCTATTCTTTCCCAAAGCCTCCTTCTCCCTAACCGATGTTTATTTGGATAGAATTTTGGCATTACGGATTGAGCCTGCTTACATAGGGTCGTATGTTCCCGATGTGAATATCACGCGGCGGCGTTAGGTTCTTCTTGCTCATTCTTGGCCGATATCCTCAAGTATAGCGAATTCGTTCTATCTGAGTTACGTCCACGGAAGACGTTTAGCTGAAGAAGGATGAACTGCAAAATTGCCTCTATCGTGAGGCCCTTTCATATGCTGTATCCCTACCTCGACTCCTACCATATTGTTGTGGGCAATGACAGCCACCAATTTCACTATTTCGCACGTTGGGTTTCCTCTACCTATCGCAAAACATGGAGGAGGCCTACTCCCCGTTCCTCACTTCACCACCAGACAGCAACCCAAATCCTCTGTCAAGGTGAGCGGCTGGAATGCCCGCTATCGTTAACCTAGCGCACCTGTCCTATTGAAGGCTTCCAATACCACACGAGCGCCCATGACACAATCACTCACAATGTTGATTAAGGGTATTCATAATCGGCTGTCTTGTGACGCTGTATGACTGGTTAGCAGAAGCGAGATGGTGACTTGGGGTGGTCGAGTATGTGTTTGATAATCACGATTCTTCGAGCACCATCTAACTTCTCGTCGAATTCGACGAACGAGGCAAAGGCAGAGATAGGCAAATGGTAGGTAAATGGCATAAGCGGGAAGACATGCGAGGCAATCTCAATGTACTGTCATGTCGACGCCATGATTCTAGATCTATTGTCGTTTCTATGCTCATGTTCTGGAATTAATGAGCACAACTCAACTTTGGTCATGAATTGATATGCTACTGAGAACATGTACCCCTAGAGGCCTGTGTGGTGTATTATCTTGGTGTCTGTGGTAAAGCTCACAATTTGATGGCGACCTCGACAGCTAGACTCGGAGACGTCTAATACTAAAAATGGCAATTCTGGCCCAAGCCTCCCGCTTGGTGTTGCACGGCCACATCGTCCTGGCACGCTTTCCAGATTCCTTAGAGGGTCCGGGTCCTAATCCTGGAAAAGAACAACTACCGCAAACAAGACGATACACTGCTTTGCTCCAAACGCGATAAGAAAAAGCAAATATTTTTCGAATGATTTTGTGCTGTTCTTTGATGATATTTTTGGTCTGGCGCCCCGATTTTGTGATTTGGGGGTTGAAAAGCAACGCTGCCACCAGTACCACCACCGCTGCCGAGGCCCGAGGAGCAGACAACAAACAACATACAACAATGAGCAGGGAGCAGTGTAATAAAAACGCCAAAAAATTTGGCAGGGTTGGGCAAGGCGTCCCAAGCCACCCGGAGGCCTTACTGTCTTCCTTCTAGACAGAAACACCCCCAACTCCTGGCCATTGGGGGACCCAGCGGCTGATTGTTCGTTGTTGCACCCGATCCGAGAAGCCGACCGCGGGTTTTGTTGTCCATGCTTGGTCCGGTCTTGAGGGAAGACTGCCGGGGGGCAGCAGACCTATGGGCAGGCTCTCCGGAAGGCATGGGACCCAATTTGTGGCGCAGATGGAAAAACCGGGACTTGCTCGAATAACCTGGCCTCTTCTCAGATGGCCCTTCTTTTGCAACGGATCCAGCGCTAGTAAGGCGCGTCTCCGATCTTTCCGGCCCGCGAACTGACGGATCAGACGGGGGTACTGGCAGCGGAGGTGCCATAGGTCTACGTCGGGGCCGGGCGCAGTCCGGGTGAACGGATGTCTTACCTATCTCTTCATAACGCGGGGCCGGCGAAATGAAGAGTGCAACATTGCTGGTATGCGTCTCTGTTCCTTCAGGCTCAGGGTCTATTACCACTGGGCGATCGGGGGGGGAGAAGACGTTTTCCCAGCCGTTCCGGCATTTCCAGGACACCTTGTTCAGAGTATAGGCCGGTCCATGTGAGCCCTTTCTCAGTACCTTTTCATACACACCCGCAGGCAATGAGGAATCCGCAACACGGGTGGAGGATCTACTCGACCTTGAGACAAGTCTCGCAGAAGAATTAGCAGCTCCAGCACCACGTTGGGTATTCGAACACGATTGCCCACCACTAGGTAGTGTCGAAGATGCAGAGGAAGGGAGCTTCGCAGATTTATTTGGTAATACCTCAGGGACGACCAGCTTGCTTTCAGAGTGATGGGCCTTTGCCACTGCCTGCGGTCTTCTCAACCGAGACGCAAAAACACCATTCTTTGCCTCCTGCAGCCGAGCATGGGCGCGTTCCTTCTTAGCAAGGATTTCCATGGTCCTTGATTCACCCACAGGACGAAACCTGGAAGCCACAACCGGAGCCGCCTGGGTAGAAGCCTGTGGCCTAGCTTGTTGTGTATCCCGACGAACCTGGATCCGGTTGAGCGCCTCCTGGACCCGGGAAATCTGTGGCCTAGCCTGAGAAGTGGAAGCCTTATCCGGAGCCGCCGTTGTTGTTGCCTGTGACCTGGCGGGTTGTCGAATGGCCTGTGACCTGACCTGAGTAGTGGATGCCTTTTCCAGAGCCATCCTGGAAGGGGCCTGTGACCTGGCTCGAGTTGCATCCTCACGGGCCTGGCGCCGGTTCCGGAGTTCCTGAAGCCGAGTGGCCGCCTTGCTGCTATCAATAGAACTAAGCCAGGGACGCAACCTCGACTCACGAAGTGCCCGGCGGTTGTCTAGCGAGCTAGACTTTTCGGCAGGCATGAAAGCCCCCGTGCCACCGGGTGGTGCTCTTCCGAGATGCCTAGAAGAAGAAGAGTTAGCAAGTGATTGATAGCATAACGAAGTAGCCAAGGTGTTTGCATGACATGGGGCAGTGGAGGACTTCATGACGTGGACAAGATCTGAGCATGCAGCCGAGGATATTGCATGAAAGTAGCTCTGGGAGGACGTCACGATGTGGACAAGACATGACCATATAACAAATGTTGTTGCCTGACAATAGGTCTGGGAGTACTTCAAATGTGGAATGGATATGGCCAAATTAGTATGGGATGCTGGCAATGGTATGATATGACAACAAGGATATGATATAACAGAGTGATACGGCAGGACAGCAATGATAAAGGTTAACAACCATGACATGGTAGTAGTATTATGTCATAACAGTGACAATTGGGCATGATGGTATTGAAAAGGTATGGTAGCAGCAACATGGCATGACCACAATGATATGCCACAACGAGCACCACAAGTGTGAAGACATTGAGGCAGAACAAGAAAGCAAGCGAGCAGAGTAGCAGTGAGGTGCGAGATGACAGCGAGGTGTTCATGTCGATGAGGTATGATGGGAGTGAGCAGCAGTGCTAAGAGTAGGAGTCGTTGGGCAAAGGCAAAAAGATAGGGGTAAAACAGGGGTAGCGGTGCAAGCTTTCCAGTAGGAGGTGTGACCGGCAAGCAGAACAAGCCGATTGTCCGACGGACGAAGAAACCTTGGGGCCGAGAATTACGTGGGCTGTGCAGATGCCTTGTGATGATGGTGCTGTTGTGTGTATATCCAGTGTGGCCAAAACATCAAGCAAAAGGAAGGCAATGAAGAGGAGGAGAGGAGTGGAACTTACACAACCATTGATTCCGCCGGACTCGGAGACCTGCTGAACAAGCCAACAGTTCTCCTAAGATTTCCTTGCATATAAGACATTGTAAAGCTTTCAGAATACCAAGTAGTCATCAGCAAATCAATGTCTTCTAGAGAAAAAGAAAAGAAGAAAGGGAAAGTTGAGAGAAAAGGCGACCTTTTTATAGGACCCCGGCTGGGGCCCGGCGTCAACAATTGTTGCCAGGCAGCGAGAAGAGCTTGATCCACTTGGTTCAGAGACCCTTAGACGGAGTATCGGACTCTGAAAGCTCCAGACAATAACAAAGAGCAGAACTGAATGGCAACGCCGAAGTTGGGAGGGGTTGGGAGCAGGAGGAACATCAAGATTGACCACGACAGCAGGCAGGATGGATGTGTGAGACTTGGTTTAGGATTGGTATTGTAGATATATACATGCTTCTGATTTGGACATTTGGAGGGCCCAAGTGCACTAGATATTCCAATTGACATATTGATCCTGATGGGCATTTCGTGGGAAGGGGAAGTGCCAAGAAATGCGAGTGCGACCGTGAAGAGCCTGCACACATTCGATGTGACCTCTTTGTGTCTCCACAGTTTTGATTTGGGTCATGTCTCGGCTTGGATTCGTTGTTTTGTTTGAGAAATCTTTCAGAAAACTTCAACAAGGACGTAAGAGAAGCCGAGAAGTGGTTAAGTTCTTTCGAGTCCGCTGAGAATCAGACGCAGATACGTATGCTCGCAGACTTCGACAAACCCCAAAGCTGACCAAATAGCAGAGAGATATTACCCCAGGTACTGAGAAATCGAGAGTACAGGAACCAAAGAGTATGAAGGTGAAGGGAGATGCAGTCGGTGTTCAGAGAAGCTGGTGGGTTCCCAAAATGCCCCCAAAATGCCCCCAAAAAGCCTGGCGATGATTCTCAAACGTGGTTGGTCATCCTTAAGTGGTCACTTTGAATTATATTCGTTGGTTCTGGGATGGGATGAAAGATAAAATATTCATGGGATGGAGTGAGGTTGGAATTCCTGCGGGTGCAATTCCCTATCAACATCCTTGCATAACGGTTTCGTGGCAAAGCCTACCACGCTTCCCAAAATGTCTCACATTTGTCAGCGCAGATCGGGACCAATCGCTCGTCAGCCCTACTACAGCCGCCAATGAACACAGGCTACTCATTGCTCCCATCATGACACTGCACGGGCCAAAGTGTTCCAACGACAATCGCTATCACTTCTCCGAATCCAATCTACCGTTTTGCATACCACATCCGACCCATGCCTTAGGAAAGCCAGAACGCTTTCAGCTTCTCTACTTTATTACACCTTGTACTTCCCTACATTACAACTCGAGTCTCGGACGATTGAATTCCTGTTCTACAACAATGTTCGCCTTGGGGGAACAACTCACTTAAGATGAGAGGCCAGGCAGCCATGTGCGGCCTCCTGCAGGATCGCGTGATCGGAGTAGAGCGCAGATCCCTCATACCAGAGTCATAACTACATATTTTGTTCAGCACACAGAGTCAAATTTCATACGTTCATCCCTGACAGGTCGGCAATGTGTCCTGGGATGTTTTTGCCGTAAGCCATACTTTGGAATCCCAGCATATTTCTGGATTTCACTCTCATAATGAAGTCTTGGCAGGATTTCCGCCATGCAATTGCCAAGCCACCCTCGTTTGCCCTCCACCATCGAGTTCCAGATTGGAAGCATGCAAAGTTATTCCATTGTCACCTAGTTATCCTGTAGTAAAGTGCGTAGTATGCAGTATCCCTGAGAGAGAGCAAGAATTCGCCGTGAGACCTTTCAGTGTTGGTGTTGTCCGCTCAATAGATCCATGCCATCTGCCAGATTTGAATAAAATAAAATTCCGCAAACTTCCAATAAACGCCCCCAAATACAAATCCGTACGAAAACCGTCAATTGTCGAGGTGCTTACAACCAGTGTTCAGTCTTCATTGCTTACATCTATATGATCGAAGTCTGTTCTTTGCAACGAATGATCGTGCTGTTGACCCAAGGAACGCGGCCATTTCGGTGGTGAATGAATCCCTTGCAAGATCAACCGTTACGACCTTCACCTTCACACAAGGACACCGCATACTTATACATAGTATGTGTGACGAATATGCATCGAATGGGGAACCGGTGCGTCAGAGGTCCATGGAGTGGGAACCTGAATAAATGTTACTCTCCGTCCGTCAAACTCCTTCCCAAAAGACATTCACATACCATTTCCTTCCACGTCGACGTGGTATTAGTCCCATGTTCCTTTCCCGAGTGGCCATTCTTCACCTCCAACTTCTCGAGTAGCGATGTATTATATCTCTATATCATAGACAGTTCAAATTCTGTTTCAGCATATGCGCCGCAACCGCAACCGGCAGTGGGCACATCGACCCCGATGTGATGACCCGGTGCCGACCGATAAATTCATCACCTTGATACACTGAACCCTGGCTGGAAGCTACAGGGACACTCTTCGTGTACGGATCGATGCCTCCACGGCGTACAACCACCTCCTTCCGATAGAAACGAAAACCTGCTTAGCGGGATGGAAAATCGAGAACCATGAGAGGGAGGGGGAACTTGACTACCATTGAGACAAATAAATTGGTCTGACGGGCACCTTGATTTTGCAGATATTGCTCCTTGAGAAGATGGGTGCTCTCCCGCCCTAGAACCGTGCTCGCATTTAGGATGGTAGGCTACGAAGGATAAACAGATGCATATTAAAATATAGAGCCTTAAGGCCCTATGCTGCAAACTTCGGAAGAGACTCTAATTGTCAACCGGCTCAGGAGTCCCAAAGCGGAGAGATCTGGATGGGCAAGGGTAGCGCTGGCACTGGAGAGGATGATAAAGCCTAACAAGGGAAAACGTCAGCATTTAACAGATTCCAGAGTGCCCCATGACCCTCTGAATATTGAAAACAGGGAGAGCGACGGTCAGAGACAAGAAAGAGAACATCGCGAGGTTAACATGGGGATCACCTGAGCATATACTGTCTTTTCTCATATGCATCGGTCATACTAAAAGCCTGCCACTTGGACTTTCGTCACATGTATTGATGTGTCCAGCACCAGTTGACACTTCTAAGCCTTCAAAGGAAGATGACAACTTGATCGTTCAAGATGCTTTCCCGATTTCTGCAATCAAGCTGGAAGAATCAACACTTCGCCCTGCTTCCGAATAATGATGATGTGGAAGAGTTCAACGGCAAAGATGAAGTGGAATCCTTGAACCCGGCGCCAAATTCACTCCTCCGCCGCATAGATCAGAGGACATGGCAGCTTGTCAGGACTCGATATCTGCCTCACATTCTAGGCGCTCAGCCTTACTCTGAGCGTATACCTTCTGATCAGCGTACTTCGGACCAGAGCCGAATTGCGGCCGACAGGACCCGAATTCGGTGACTGTGGCGAGCAGGGTTCTTTGGAGAGGCCCAGGCGGCAGGTTGCGTATTTGATCCTGTCGCTTCTATCTAGGAAGCCCAAATGCTATGACGCGGAGCTCGCTGCTGAGTTCGTGGGGAAGATCAACCACAAGTTCTACAGGAACGAGACGCAGACCGCGGAGAATGAGGTGCCTTTGGAGGAAAGGCATGCGGGCGACAGGCCGTACATTCTGCGTGATGAAAGTACCACCATATGCATTGCTATTACGTTGGGAGAAGCTGCACCGAGCGTATCTGAATAAGAGGCCTGCGGACAGCCAGGTTGCCGGACTAGCTCACACGAAGCACTGCTCGATGTTGCAGTTAGCCTGATTTCGAAGGGGTGGTATACTCTATGCTAGAACAACATGGACCAGCTGCGGTTATCATTGAATCATGTAGTGCAGGACAATTTTGGGCTGCGCAAAACAGAAAGAGTATATCTTACTCCGATCGCTGTCACTTCTTCTTCCTATCATGGACCACGATTTTGTCAGAGCGGATGGAATCGTGATCATTTTGCCGGAAATCTAGCGCGGGCGACCTCTTGGGCGCCAATAGCCCATGCAATAGTACCAAGCTATGGGCTTCCATTTCAAAACAACCTGCTGTCGATTAATTGGTGATATCTCCACCAGTTGTGCAAGCTCATCTTTGATTTCTTTGCGAGGTGTCGTAGTATTCCTTAAATCTTGAGCCCCTCGCCAACAAATTGCGCGGACTGTCGAACTCCACGAGCCTTCCCTCCTCAAACAGCCCAATCTTGTCTGCATCCAGAATTGTGCTCAGCCGATGCGCGACACTTATGATTGTGCATCCGCTGAAATGTTCTCGAATGATGTGCTGAATTGACTCATCTGTCTCAGTATCCAGATTGCTGGTTGCCTCGTCTAGAATCACGATTTTGCTCTTTCTAAGTAGAGCTCTTGCTAGGCTTAGAATCTGCAGCTGCCCTTGCGAAAGGGGGTTTGCGTTGATATCACAATCGAGCCTCCACGACTCTCTATCACTCTCCAAAGATCTATTCTCTTGAGTATCTCTATTAGCTTCTCGTCTTCCTGTAGTGAGTCGGGGTCGAGATTCAATCGAACAGAACCAGTCAGCAGAAACACTTCTTGTGGAACGGCAATAATCCGATCACGAATGAACGATCGTGGGACAGAGCTGATGTCAACTCCATCGATGATGATGGACCCAGTGTGGAGATCTAGCAAACGCAGTAGGGCAGATACAAGCGACGACTTGCCGCTCCCAGTTCTTCCACCTATTCCGATCTTCTGGCCGGGTTCAATCTTCATCGTGATCGCCTCCAAAGCAAAGGGGCCTTCCTTGTATGTCGCGCAAACAGATTCAATGTCCACTTGTCCACATTGAGGCCACGATTGTGGCGGAACATGGTTCTCATCAGGACGTGCTTCAGGCACAATGTCGGATTCGAAATTTTTTATTCGTACAACCGCCCCAAGAGAAGTTTCGAGTTGAGTCCATGCATTGATGAGGTACGATAGAATAGTGCTTGTACCAAGCACATTATTGAGTGATACTCCTAAGCGCCCGGCGCTCGTTGATGAGCGAAGGCTGACTGCATGAGCGACAACGATAACAGCCAAAGCCGCAACGATCAAATCAAGGACTAAGTTGAGCCATCGCTGTATACATAATAGTAGGTAGTACGGAGTCTGCGCCTCTTCGATCCTGGAAAAAATGATGGCTTTGGACTCTTCCAGCCAGCCAAAAGCTCTGATAGTCGTCAAGCCATCCAAGGTTTCCATGAAGTGTGAGTAGACGGGACTCTTGGCTTCCAATTCCAGAATTCTTAGTTGGCGTGATGTGCGGAGATAGAAAGATTGGACAAAGTAGACAGCAATGAGTAAGCAGGGAAGTGTTGCCGCAACATAAGAAGAGCCCAGTGAGATCAAAGCCAACTGACCACACAGCATGAAAAACATGCCAACCGTCATCATGACTGCCTGAGGTAGAGCCTGCTCTACAAGGGTAAGATCCTGGCTGAATCTGTTGATTATTTCCCCTAGATCGGTTGATGCGAAGAAAGCTTGCCTGGCCTCAATCGTGGTCCTTAGCAACACCCAGTGAAGGCTTCTAGCTGTCGATGCAGCGATCCAAACAAGAATTGACCATATAGCTACTCCTTGATTGAATAGCTGGAGAAAAGAGAACGAAAGGTAGATGGGCAGAAACATTGCAAGCCTCCCACTTCCAGCTGTGGTCCACCACATAAGCCACACCTGAGGAACCGAGACGGTGATGATATGTGCAGCTTGAAAGAGGACATATATGCTGCCCTTTCGCCAGCCTACGGAATTTGCATAGTAGCGGTAGGTAGAGGATTTACTGGTTGAGCCTGTCGACCCTGAGGTTATTGAGACCTTTTCCCTGCTCTTCTCAGAGGTATTGCGATTCTGGGAGGTGGCTCCAGAGAAATCACCCTCAACTTGTCGGCTGATGGACTGTGAGACCGGTCTCTCCATGACAGCATAGACATCTGCTACTTGAACGTTAGAGCCGCAATGCTTTATCGAGCCATCTTGTCCGAAGACTACCATTTGGTCTGCCATTCGGAAATGGTGGACTAGAGAGGTAAGTTAGAGATATTCTACGAATAACGCCGTGTGCTGAGCTTACCTGAGTGTGAAATGAGTATGATTGTACTGTTTAACCGACGAAGCAGTCCCCACGGCCCCAGCAGACGTTCCGTGACGATTTGCTCGGTTTCGCTGTCAAGCGCACTGAAAACATCGTCTAGTACCACGATTTCTGGACGTGCGAAGACACATCTCGCAAGGGCGACACGGTGCCGCTGACCTCCGCTTAACTTCGTGCCCTTGCTTCCAACCATGGTCTCATCACCTTCGGTTAAGTGTTTCATGTCCACATCTAAGGCACAAGCTTGCAGGACAGTTTGATACCAGTCGTCGTCAAAGAGACCACTGGTCCGTCTCCCACAAATATTTTGGCGAATGCTCAGGTTCAGAAGCCATGGTGTCTGGGCACAGTATCCAACCTTAGTGGTGTATACACAAATTGTGCCCGCTTCACAAGCTATTTCACCCAACAATGCTCTGGCCAGTGTTGTTTTTCCCGCACCAACCGGACCTGTTATGATAGTCAATGCTCCACGACGGAGGCTCAGTGTGATATTGGCAGGCCTGGTTCTAGTATCAGTGTTGGTCGCAAACTTTACACTATCGAGCTCGACTGCATTTTCCATCGTCTGTGACAGGATTCTTGAGTCCAGTCTACTTGGTGCGAGCATATATTCCTGTATACGTTCAAAGCAGCCGAGCGAAGCAGTCAGAACTGGGAAAGCAGTAAGAAAGCGGCCTGCCGGCACCGCAACCAGATTGATCAGTGCCATACTCGTAAATGCTCGGGTAACATCCAGACCCTCGCGTCCTTGGATGTGGGCCTGAACAACGTATGCCGTAAAAGTCACAGTGGCGCAAAAGGCGGTCGGGATATTGGCTATTGAGTTAAGCCACAAACTCACCCATCTGAACCCCGCCATGAGCCTGAGTTCCCGAGTTCTCTGCTCCACTAGGATTCTGGTGACAGCCCGAGTCAGACCAGTCATTCGAATTGTCTTCATGGATCCAATGGCGGATGTTGTGATTGCGATTCGCTTCTGCACAGCAGCAGCCCAAATCTTCTGCTTCGCTGGTACAATTGTAGCAACTTTAGAACTTAAGACCGTGGAACCTAGCACTATAGCCACAGGCAGCACACATATCCACCCAAGCTGAAGTCCAAGGAGGCTTACTCCGATCAACACCTCAAGTAATTGTGCCCAGACCTCGTGTACACGCTCGATGCTCACACAGATCCTGTCAGTATCCGTACCCATCAAACTGACAGCCTTCGACTCGTTGTAGGCCCCATCAGGAAGATGCAATGCCCGATCGAAGATGAAAGCAATCATGGCGCCGCGGAATGAGGTTATGCAGCGGAACAGTTGGTGCTTGTACCAGCCATTAAGAACTGCGATGCCAAGATAGATTGCCCCAGCAGCACCGATCAAACCATAGCCTATGTTGTGATTTTTTATGCTGTCAGGATCCCTGAGCAGATTCAACAATCGAGATATAAGGAACGGTTGGGCAAAATTAAGCCCGATGAGACAAATCCGTGGGAAGGCCATCGCGGCTAATGGCTTACGGAATGCTTTTATTGATGCCCAGACCAAAGCTCGACGGCTGGCATTTGGAATAGAATGCCTGATCCATGCTTCTTGGAGTGTTTTGGCCCATGCTCGTGGCTCCAGTGCAGTATCGATCTTTTGCAAGTCCTCTGGACTTAAAGAGACTCTTGAACCTTGCAGCAATGTCGCATTAAGCCACCAAAAAAAGCTTCTGTTGAAAATCCCGATGGTTGACTCCACAGGTAGATTGGCATAGGCGTCGACCGAAGACTTCCTCTTCTCCCAGGCCTCCAGAACGAGCAAAACAACCTTCATTCCTATATTGGCTGCAAAGAATCTCGATACCAGAGAGCTTCCTTCTGAAAGGACCAAGCTCCGTAGTTGGACAGCATCGAAGAGTACTGAGAAAAAAAGGTACACATTCAGCAACACCGAAGGTCTGACAGATCGCTTGTGCTCGACATGTGAGAGCACAAACATTGTGATTGCTGCTACAAAGCCCAAAATTGCAGATGGGACAGACGTTCTCGTGGTGTCTTTGTCGCGCAATGAGTACAAAACGACGAGGATAAGCCATACTATGGCAAGGATAACTGCGACCCAACTGTGATATCTGAGAAACGCATCTACCAAACGGAAAAGTATCATCTTACTGCCTTACAGAAGCCCAATGTGTTTCTTGAGACTTTGATCTGCGATCGCCACAGCTTCACCAGCCTGGCAGGTGTGGCGATGAGAAAGATGCATGCAGGCAAGAGGAACAAGATGGACTGCTCGAACAACAATGTGAAATCAAATCCACGACGGCACTGGTCGACAGCAGGGCCAAAGCGGTCATCGAGATCGTTGCTGCAGTTGAGCTGCGACAAGGCAAGCAAGCGATTGTCCATCTTGTGCGCTGAGTTTGAGCACCAAGATTATGGTCTGGAGAAGAGCTTTGGAACCTGTGTACAACTAACACAGGCTGACAAGTCATTCTGCCAACAGAGTGAGAAACATAGCCACCTTTCTGGCGTAAAATTGGCCTATTTTCCAATTGGTTACTACAGCCGCAAGCGCACCTCAACCAGGTGCCATCGAATGAGAAGTATATCTCAGAACTAGCGGTTATGTTGGCGAATTAGAAAATAGGCCAATTTTACGCCAGAAAAGGTGGATATCGGTCACTGCATGCTTGGGGGGAACTACTACGGCGAACTATTACAGGCTTAACGTCAATTCAAGATCAGTTTGAGATACCCCTTTAGAGACATTCTCTTAGGGGTATTCCTCTTACGAACACTCTCTTAATGACACTCTTTAAGGACACACTCTTAGAGGCACCCACTTAGGGACACTCCCCCCCCCACGTCTTTTATATATCAGAAGCGCGCAGCCTATCACTGGCTGTTGTTCTCTCCAATACATTCCTATATTATCGTCAAGCTTGATCACTCGTCCGTTCGTATGGCGGCTTGAGACGCGATAATAATCAATCGCCGCAACCGCAGCTTTAAATAACTGTAGCCTGCCTTGCACTCCTGGTAGCGCTGGCCCAAGTTTTGCAACAGTATTTCCTCACCGGCCAGCTAATTCGGCTGTGCGATGGTGTTGTTTTGGGCCACTTCCGCGTTAAGGCCGTCGCATTTGGCAGCTTTCGCAGTTTCGCTTCCGCGTTGTCTATTCCATTCCACAGATCAGTTTGAGTGCAGACTTATGGCCAGATCAATCTCCGCATATCAAATTGTACGCGACGGAACGACACGATGGACTTTCTAACTGACGAAGGGATGACGAGGCGGAGCCATTGTCTGTATTGGTTCCCCTGCTGAGGGCCGTGAAGGTCGGCCAGTCTGTTCTGGTAGGTGTGGACACAGATCAACTACGAGATATTTTGCTTAAGGATGTCCAAATACACCTAGTCTAACAGAACACTCATCAACACCGTTCATACCAATATGACATTATTGTTAAGCTGCAAGGCACACCAGAACCGCCGCATACCCCTCACCAACTGGCAGTATTTATATCTAGCCACGTCGAAGCCTATACAATGGCGGTTCCTTCGACCGTCGGTCCCCCAACCTGAAGCCCTCAGACCACGTCTTCATTTTTCAAATTCAGGCCCACGTGTCGGTGCATAAACCTGGCCCTCCTCCAAACCGACACGCGGTGAACCGGACCGACAAGAAGGATGTACATCTAAGGCCTGCATATCGAGGCACAATAGAGAAAGACGCGGTGAGAATCCTGAGAATGTTCTCATCGTTCCCAGGAGAGTCCTCGTAACTTGAGGTTTGAGGCATCGACGTGAAGAATCTTTGATTTTTGTACTGTAACACCTCCCATTTACTTTCTAAGCATCTGCTGTATCTTATCGAATGTAGAGTAATGAGTCTATATGACGCCCAGAGCCTATCTATTTACATTTTCGAGATTGCCTTCAGTCAAGCCAAATATACCATAGCCGGCAGTGTGAAGATGAAGGATTCATCATGCCTATCCCAAGCATAAAGTCCGACACGTCGAAAAGCAGGGCGAAGAAGGACGAATCGTTGAATGAGGTGGAAGGGGTGACGGGTAGCATGTCTATCTAAAAATTGTTTGGTCACTGGAATTCAGGCTTATCAAAATCGAAATAATTCATTTATGGAACACGGTGTCAGCGGCGTCAAGGCGTGCAGCATATCGTATATGTCCCGGTACAATCCGCGAGAAAGGAGTGTTGTTGAGAGCCAGGACACTGTCATAGTAGCCCATGGTATCCATATTGCTTAATCAGCTGAGCTGAAAGTCCACTCTGTTCTTCTCCTTCTGGTTCTGATTGGGGGTCTTGCTCCCGCTCTCGCCATCCCGGTCTCCGGAAATGTTGCCGTTATTGTCTCGCTCAGGATCCTGCTCAGCACCTTCACCCCAAGACATATCATTTCTGCCGCTCAATTCCTCGTCTCTGCGTACTTCCGCCTCGTCCTGCGAATGAAGCTCACCGTCTTCTTTATACTCTGTATCCATTTTGTGCATGAGCTCTTCCCCAGGTAGAAGAATGCTCCTGTCAATAGCTAAAGGCAGACCGCGATGTCTCCCTCTTATCATCGCCGCCAGCAGGATAAGCTTGGATGTTGTCTGAAACGCGCCGCTGAGTGAGTAAGTGTCATACGGTACACCAGTACTGAGGCCAACGGTCCCGTAAGCCGAGGCGACTTCGAAAAGCACGTTGAAGTTGCTAAAGCCCGGTTGCTCTGCGACAATTTTGCCCCGTTCGAAGATACAAATGAGGAACCAGGCGAGGAGCTGAAACCAGAGATCATAAGCCAATTGTTTTTGCAAATGCATCGCCAGGCCCCTACCAGTTTGGCCCTTATCCAGGCCAATGGAACGTTCTCCGTATGTGTTCGTCTGTCTGAGCGCCATCACGATGGGGAAATTTGAAATGTACATGATGATCAGGTATGCTATCAGCAATGCAGGCGCAAGGTAGCTCATATTGATGATAGATGCACCACTTGTTCGGAGGCCTGTTGCCTGGAAGAGACCGTCAAAGACTCGGACCTTTGTTGGGATCGCCATTACGGCAGGGAGTCCGAGATTGAGGGTTTCGAAAAGGATCCACCCTGTACAGTCGATCATCAGCTGAATGGCGAAGAGGTACCAAGTTTCCTTTCCTGGAAAGAGGTAGAGGAAGCATCGCCTAGGATGGTCGAGAAGAAACGTGAGGGTTTGTCGGAAGTTTGAGCCAGATGGGGATATTTTGGACATTATCCAGATGACCAGACGAAGCAAAATTGGAAACTGCGTGTTGCCCGCCAGGCTAAGGACCCCACAGACGGTCAAGATGAAATAGTAGCTTTGGAATGGAATGAAATTTGCGTTGACCAGATTAAGACCCCCGTTGGCAAAGGAGGTTGAGCAGGCAAAGAACCCAAACCAGCCAGGGTTGAGGCTGCCAAGTTGCGTTGAGTGGAGGACGTTTACGACACTGGAACGATAGGAATACGGGACCAAGAAGGCTGTGCCCAGCGCCAACCAAAAGAGATTGTAAGCTGCTAGAATCCAAAGCAGGGCCCCTAAGGCTCGATACTCAACGCCACCTAGTTCTGCTCGCTCATACTCATTCAATGCCCTACAGTGTCGGGTCAGCAACGGCAAGTCTCGTGAATAAGAGCTAACCTAAAGCGACCTTTCTCGTCCAAATTGACATCAAATGCTAGGTAAGATTGATCTCTCACTCCCCAAGAAGCAAGCTTCTTAAATGGGTGGTGAAAGGCATTCCGTACACTTGCAATTTCCCAGGGAGCTGGCATCCACCCATAGCCATTCTGGTGATGGTATCGCTGGTCGTAGCCACTTGATCGATTGCGAGACTCGGCGGGGTTAGCTATTCTTGAGGTTAGAGGAGTTGAAAGGCTGCCTCCAGCTCTTTGGCGGTGAGTATATTGCACCTACTAGTTAGCCGCTTCCTCAGTGAACCTCTCCTTTCATGACTAGAAATCTGTCCGTTCGGGGTAAGCTCTGTTGACGGGCTGCGCTTCGATCTGCTCGACTGATATCTCTCCTGACGTTCGATGTCGCGGAGAACTTTGCGACCTGATTTCGAATGCTCCACAACATGGGCCAGTTTTCGGCGAAAGAAATGCCGACGGATGACAACCACGAAGGTAGACACAAAGACCACGTTGCGGATCAACAGCAAGACACAGAGCATCGCTTGCTGGAAGGATGTCAATGAGCCAAAGTTCACGGTATTCAGACCAGTCGTTGTCATTGCCGAACAGCATAGAAACAAAGCATCTATGTATCGAAGCTTTGTGCCATTGACTTTAGTCGAGCCATTTGCCAGGCCTTCACCGTAGACTATGATAGAAAAGATCAAGATCACGACGATGAAGTAGAACATATGAAGACGGTAGAAATTGAAGCGGAACACATCATCACGAAGGTAGGCGAGGAAATGCTGTTTGGCCTTCTGGGGATGCTGGACCTCCTCCCAAGGATCGCGCATCTTGAGAGGACGTCGTTTGGCCAGTAGTAGATGGCACTGGTAACTGGCTGGGGAGGTAGCCGACGAAACCAATGGGCTATGCCTGAGTGTTAAGTCTTAACATTGTGGTGATTGGAGTGGCCCTATTCTCTATACCGCATTGCACTCCGTTGGCTTCATATCTCGAAGCTGGAGATCTGGCCGATGCTTACCGTACCGACATCACTATAGAAAGGGGGTCACACAAAACTACGGAGGATGCATAGGCATATTCAAGAGGTTGTACTGTGCAGAAACAGAAAGGGGTGGACGCAAAACTACGGAGGATCCACAGACATACCTAGGAGGTTGTATTGTACAGTAAACTAAGCTAGAAATTAATCTCTGAGCTGTGTGCACAAGAGAACTTGCCTTATGGAGAATAGCGTTCCCGTGAGCTTAAATAAATTGAAGTAGCAAATTCTGCTGCA